AAAAAGTGTTACTCATCTTAGCACTGGATTTTAATAGTATTTATTATAATAAATTATAATATTTAGTTAATATAATTCCCTTTTATGTAACACATATATGCAATATATAGTTCTTACACACCTGGACATTAATGTAGGTTGTGCAAGAGCAGTGTTTCAACGAATCACACATTAAATAAACATTATATGAAATTAATGAAATAAATATGACTCTGAAAAGAGTCAAGTTAGGTGTGCTCCTTAATCAAAGTCAAGGCTAACAAATATTGTAAATAGAAATTGTTGTAATTCCAGGCTTGGAGTTTTTGAGGAAGTAAATGTTTATATGAATTCTATTTAGGAGTCCATAAAGACAGTTTGCTATGACAGGTCTTCCTGAACTTGCTGCATGAATCATTGACCTGGATTATCAACACAAATTCCAGGTCCCCTATGGTGTCTACAAATTCCAGAGAACTCAGAAGAGTCTTGGAAAGAACCTGAGGTGGGACTGATCTCTCTTATCAGGGGCCTTAGCAGCTAGGTTTTAGAGAAGCAAAAGCAGCAAAAGGACTTGGACTGTTTCTGCCACCTCTCAGACCCAGTATGAAGTCACACCAGAACCCCACCCCCTGGTTCCTTCAGCAAAAGAAGACAGAAGAAGCAGAAGTCCATCCCTAGTGTCTTGTGCCACTTCTGATTCTCCAAAGCTGAGCAGGAAGTGAGTGGTGGAGCATACCACTCCCTTGCATAATCTGCACACACCAAAGAATTTGGGGGAAGGGGGAGAGGAAGTGCACTGCCAACTAAAAACAATGGCTGGACCCCTAATTATCAGTGAAACAGCACCATCAACATACACGTCCCAAGTAAGTGTGCAAAGGATTGCATCTTAGATTGTTTTCATTCAGCTAGGGATGGAAACTATGCTTTTAAGTCAAAGGTTTCACAGAAATTGTGGTTTCTGAGGAGCGGGAAGTGGCACCATACATTTATTCTGGGAAGGAGTTACCGGTAAATGTAAGAAGCTATTTTACATTGAGTCAGAGAATATGTCCAGCTGGCTCAGGCTGCGTATACACAACAGTTTAGTCAAGAACCACTGGAGACTGTGTAGTGGTTTTTTTCTACATAGTCCACACACAATCTAGATTTTTTTTTATTTTGGGGGCCCCCAAAAAGTGCTTCCTGAGAAATTGGTTCTATTTTGAAAATGAAAGCTCACTGCAGATTGATCTGCATTACCCCATAATGTGTCCATTTGAAAAAAGACAAAAACAAGATATAGGCGGTCCTGGCAATGTGTGTGTGTCCACAACTGCTCAGTAATTTTGTAGGTGGGCTTATATCAAGATCACAATCACCACTTCCTTCTTCATTCACCTGGGACATGCGCAGGGAGGAAAAGTCATGGATAAGCTAAACAAGGCATGGGTTTTCAAATGGGTACTAAGTAACCAAACGGAACCTTGTGGATGGCAGGATCTAGAATCAATATTAATATTATTATTAATTTGTACCCTGCCCATCTAACTGCATATAGCATATAGAAAAACAAAATAAAACATTAAACCTTAAAAAGCTTCCCTATACATGGCTGCCTTCAGATGTTTCCTAAATGTTATATAATTACTCATCTCCTTAACTTCTGGTAGGTGGGTGCCACAACTGAGAAGGCCCTCTGCCTGGTTCCCTGTAATCTCACTTCTCACAGTGTGAGGACCGCCAGAAAGGCCTTGGGCTGAACAATGGGGGTGGTGATGTTCCTTCAGGTATACAGGGTTGAGGCCGTTTAGGGCTTTAAAGGTCAGCACCAGCACTTTGAATTATGCTCGGAAATGTACTGGGAGCCAATGTAGCTTTTTCAGGACAGGTGTTATGTGGTCTCAGCAGCTGCTCCCAGTCACCAATCTAGCTGCCGCATTCTGGATTAACTGTAGTTCTGAGTCACCTTCAAAGGTAGCCCCACGTAGAGTGCGTCAAAGTAGTCCAAGTGGGAGATAACCAGCGCATCAAGACTGAAAGCAGCATGTTGAGGACAGGCATTAACAATTCTTGATCGAGAAAAGTTACATTTTTGTGCTACAAATGGGTTAGTGTGTACACAGCCTCTGTCTTATTTCTACACTAACTAATAGCATATCTGCAGGGTTTCAGACAAGATGCTGAAGATTGAACCTGGGACAATCAGTATGCCAAACATGTACTGTGCTACAGCTCTTCCTATTGGCAAGGAGCACCAATAGAAAACACATACAGAGCCATACAAGAGAGCAGTTGTTTAAGCAGCTGCTGGTGATAGAGCTGGAGAGCAAATGTTAATTTTTGTGTTTACATTTGACATATTGAAATAATTGCAAGTGTCATTTCTTGTACCTGTACTCTTCTTCATTCAATAGTGGCTTCTGGGCAGCTAGATATCTATTAATAGTATCCTCCAGTTTTGGAATAGGCAATCTACAAATGGATATTGACAAATTATAGATCCGGCACATAAATCCTCAGAGATTACTACCTCCCCTTCAATATACCAGCCCACCTGTTCATTCATATTTAAATTAATAATTTATGGCACATAGACACATAATTTATGGATTACCTGGAGTGGGGGAGAATAAATACTCTTTTAATTTGCAAAGCCTTTGTTGCCTGATCACCCAGAGGTGATTCTTACTTGCCACAAGTATTATTTAAAAAAATTAAAGACAACTTAAATAATGAAGACACCAAAGCCTCTTATCTACAAATGTTAAAAACAGTAAGAGTGGAAAGACTACTAGTTCTATTTCCACAATGATACATTCACACTGAATCTTTATGCCTTCTAAGATTTAAAGGATGTAATGCACAATGAAAATCAGAGGAAGCGAAATAAATCACATATCAGGGACCCCCTACAGTAGCAAACCAGCAGTGCCTCACTCATACTGATTTATATCTGCAACGTCAGCAGGTGAGGACCAGTATGAGCTATCCCTATGCTCACAGAAACATGAATGCAGATACACAACAGAATTTTGTCTGTGAGGATCAGAAGCGTGCTAAAACACTTGTCTCCTACAAAAAGCATCTTATTTCAAGCAGCTTAATGCTTCCTACAATCCTGCAGTATAATCAGGATGGTTAAATAGTTATTAAATGCTGCACACTTTCCACCTGTGCACTACCATCAATTTATGGATTGTGAGCAGCCATTGAACAGGGTGCAACTATTCCAGTTAAACTAGACATATTAAGGTGTAATTAGTCTTAATTAATGTTTAGGTTTACCAGGAAAACTGATATGAGATTAGTTTTAATAGAACAAATGTTAGGTGGACAGATGTGCACACAATGTCAATAAATATTATTTATAAATCAACCAATGAAGGAATCCTTCTCAGGTCCTTCTTCTGCCCAGGACATGCATGAGTGCATAGGCTGCAGTTTGTGTGTTGTGCAAATGCTCCCTGCAGTCCTCCAGAAGCTGGAAACAGGCTAGTTTAACCTCTGGTTTGCTAGTGAAACTGAATTAGTGTCAAAAAATGATGCACGTCTAAAAAGTGTGTCACTAACATGAAAAGCTTGGAAAGCTTTGGGCTTTGCTAACCTCCCTTATCAGTGTTCCATCTCTGCATGGTGTACCCACAAAGGATCCTAGTGTTAAGCTGGCATGCACAAAAAGACTTGTGGTGCCTTGATGCCTAAGAGCGCAATCCTATCTGTTTACCAGAAAATGTACTTCCACAAAGCTCAACCAACTTGCCCTGAAGTAAGTGGCCATAGGATCGCAACCCAATATACTGCACAGCATAAGTTTCTTCAGATGGTAACTGCATTAGTATTTAAGGCGACAGCTTTTAAAAATGGTCCTGAGACGACTCACAACGTGGTCAAATAAATCTTACTTATATTTTGCACTTCAGGGTGGAAGGAGGAGCTCACTCAAGTAGGATCAGCCCGAAGCACTCTGCCCAACAAGCGGGCCGGCTTTCACTTGAGGTGCCTTGTTGCGTTTGCTTATAAGTGCAAACTACTGCGCATATATAACCCCTGTGGGAACTGGAACGAGTGGCTTTTTGGGAAGAGCAGGAGGAGGAAGAAGAAGAAGGCACGAGGGACCTGCTCGCCTTCCCGCTTCCTCCTCAGCTCCTCTTTCTCCCTCACCCCCACCACCCACCCCCTGCAAGTCTGGAGCAACGGCGACGCGGGGGAACCTGGGCAAGCTGGGCTGGAAGTGCATGGTAGGAATGGTGCTCCGGTGCACGAAGTGATGGTCCGTGTCCTGCTCCGACACGATGCCTTCCAGCTGCCCCACGGTCCTCCAATAGCGGCGGCTCCCGGCAGCGCTGCTCCACAGGGCCGCGGCGCCCCACCGTGGCCTCGCTCGGTGCATGTCACGTTGAGGAGGGGGGGGAGCAGGCGGAGCAGAGCAGGCGCCAACCGATCCTCGCCGGCACGCGCTTCTTAGAATGGCGGCAAACGGCCGCGGCGGGTGGGGGGGGGCCCGCTCGGGCGGTAACCAGGGCAACGCGAGGGAGCGCGAGAGGCCGTTGCTCTTCTGCAGAGGCGGCGCGGGCGAGCGCTGAGGCGGCCTTGTTCCTTGAGTCTCCCTCATGGCCCCCTCGTCTCGTGCTCTTTTCTTCTTCTTGGGGTTGGGGGGGTAGAGCTTCTCCCCCGCCTCATATTTTATTCCACCTCGGTCGGTGTATGTTTCTAGGTCACCCGTTTTACCTTGCAGTGCCGGATTTACGTATAAGCTAAACAAGCTATAGCTTTAAAAATTTAAAGAGGAAAAAAACCAACTGGATGTAAATTTCCAAAATAGAAGATAAAAAGCAAATAAAATAAAACCTACATACAGCAACAGTGTTTTGTGTTGTGTAGGCTCCTATGATGCAAGTACTGTAATGGGCCCCGCCTGCTATCCTGCTCCCTAAAATACCACTGGTTTGCTCATTTCTATATATAGGGTTGTATTTCACTATTAATATACTTATTTTTAATTGTATTTCAGTTCAATAATTACTTTGATAAAATACATATTTTGTTATGTGCAAATGGATTTAGATACCTATTAGGTCAATAAATTACCATATAGCATATGTTCAACACAAAAAACCGACAATTTGTTGTTGTTCTTGTTGTTGTTGTTGACAAAGGACAGCTGGATATATAAAGGGCCCCATTGCCTTCAGTAGCTTAGGGCCTCATCAAACCTAAATCAGTCCCAGAGTGGGACCCATTTTATGGAAGAAGGTGCAAAATAAATGACTCGGAAGCGCTGCTTCCCCACACCTAAAACCAGTTTTCCAACATGAGGGCAAACCTTGTTATTTTAAGGAGCAGCAAGCAAAAGTATTGAACACCCCTGCGCCGTCTCTTTCTGCTATCGGCCTAATGAAGCATGCTGAGAATAGTTCCACAGTATAAATAAGATCACTCGTGTTTTTTAAGGTGTAAATACATTTGCAGCCTCAAAGAGAAGACCCATGGGTGTAGCCAAAGGGGGTGGGCCGGGTGGCAGCTGGCCCCCCCATCAATAAAAATCAATAAAAATACTTAACTGAGATCCCCCCCCAACAAAAGCCTGCCCTCCCCCAACAAAAATCCTGGCTACGTCCTTGTCTGCAGACCTTATGTTTTTATAGGAATTAATTGCACCACCTGTGAAACAGCTTCATTTTTATCAGAGCAGCTGATGAAGGTGGAAGCCAAAACGTTTTACTGTAAATAAAATTAAGATTTCTGTTTAGTCCTTGTAATAAATATGTGCTACAAGATCCAGAGCAAACTTGTCTGAAGTGCTCTTTGTTGCTTTTACTCTCCCCCTCCCCATATTTGGTAGCCATACCGTGGTATCCAACTAAGTTCTGCTCAGAGTTAACCCATTTAAAGTAATGCCTAAGCCATGTCAATTACTTCTAATAGATCTACTCTTGAGTATAACAGACATTGAAGACAGCCCATATTGTTGCATCCATCTAAGTAAAAGTCCATTGCTTTCAATGGGTCTGCAACTTAAGTTGGAGGCCATGCATATTCTGTTAATATTATTACTGTTAAGAATTCCTTTTTTATATACCGAAATTGATTTGCAGTGGCATTGCTAGGAGCAGGGTTTTTTTTAATTAAGAGCCTCATAAAATATCCATTTCTCTTTTAAAAAGGTAACAGACATAGTGAACAAATTCTTACTGAACAAGATACTTTATTTAGAGACCACACCTTTTAAAAAAATCATGTCTATTTACAATCAAATATAAGATGCAATTTAACCTTCCTATTAATAACAGTAGGATGCAGCATCTGAAACGCTCCCCCCCCCCCCAAAACAATGACACTGTTGTGCCAGTGAAAGGTCTGAAAGCAAATGTTTCAAATTGAGGGCATTTCTTTCTTGAGTGTTGACGCCTCTGACCCAGCTCGGGCTGCCCGCCTTCCCGCATTTGGGAATGACTGGAAGTGGATTGGCTGCCAGTGAGCTCATGTATTTATGGATCACTTTCCCGCTAGTAGCAGCAACAGCAATGTACCACGTAGGCTCCTTCCGCTCGGTGAGATGCTGCTGTTCCCAACGCCACACTTTGTTTTTCTCTCTCCCTCTGCTGACCTGACCGTATTATGTTGGCTCTGCAGAAATGTCGAGCCGCTCTTCCCTTTGCGGGTGCTAATACCCTTTGTTGGTAGGGTTTACTGACGTCACGAGGCAAATGGCTGAGCTCGAAGCTGGGAGCTGCTGAGTTTACGTGCCGGTTTCACCTTCGGCGGCAGCGAGCTGTTGTCACAGAGAGCTAACGCTCATTTTCCACTTGCAGAGAAGGGATTGCTGAATAGGAGGAGGACGGTGGCGGAAGCACCCCACAGCCGTCGACGGGGTGAATGAAACAACCTCAGGAAATGGAGAAAGAATAAACCCAAGCAGCTTTGGATTTATAATGCAAGCAGCTTGTGCAGGATCCATAGTCACCTTGCTCTCCTGCTTTTGGATTTAAGATCATGTACGTGGGTTGTGTTATTTGTTCCTTGAGTGTTTCCTGTCTCTGGCAAAAACAAAAACAACAAAACCCGTGTGCCTTGAGAAAATAATCATGATTCTTGTCGTCACTTGAAAAACATCATTTGCTTTTCCGCCTCTTCTCCCTTTCCCACATTCTTTTCATTTTGTCATAATAGATGTTTGATACCAGCAGATTAAAAACATTGTTTATTTGTAGGTCCGTTCACGTTGTAGCTTTTGGAAATGAAAGAGGCGGCTTTTCCGAGGATGATCAGCAGAGGAGTCTGATTTGGACCTATCTTGGGAGAAGTGCTCTGGTTTCAGAGACTGACAGCAGCTTGTTGTTAAACTCTGCCAACTATGTTAGAAATCCTGCATTCACCGAATATCAAGCCTGTGTGTTTGGAAATGTCAGATTGGTGGTACATGACTGTCCTCTCTGGGTAAGAGACTGTAATATGAAATTAACAGAGCCATCTTAAATGTATTTACACAGGGATCTAATTGAGTTCCAAGGGGTTTACTTCCTTGTAATTATGCTAATATTGTAGCTTTTCAGTGCAATCCTAATCATGTCTTCTGAAGTAAGTCCTATTGAATTTAGTGGGGCTTACTCCCAGGTAAGTGGAATTAGGATTGCTGCCTTAGTTTAGTCAACTTCTAAACCAGTATAAGGTTATTAGAACATAGCTTCATAGAAAAAGAGAACTGAAAATACTATATTCTGTAAATTACTGCCATTTGAATAAGTTCATTCCTTGAAGAAACGTGAAAAGATCAAAAGAAAGAGGACCATCACCTGCTGTTCTGATATGGAAGTCATGTGTTCCAGAGAATAAACACATCTTGGAGGGTTGAAAAACTGTTTTAATGCAGACATTTAGCTGGAACTAATAGAACAGTAAAGCAACTAATTTTCTATGAGGCTTTCAGCTTTGAACTTAATTGACAGTTGCATGATTACAAAGTTTTGAAAAGAGTGCATGTTCTGTTATTTATTTTTGTAATAAGTTGTCCATATACCAATTTGGCTCTTAATAGTGTTTCTGGAGTTAGTGATAGGGTCACTTATCAGGAATCACATTTATAACTTTTTGGTAAGACCTTGGGTAAATTATATTGGGTCAACTTATGGTTCTGTTAGTAAATTTCATTTATTTTCACTTAAAGAGATTTCCTCCCTACCCTCAATCCTTGTATGCAACATCTTCATTTACAGATATTCTATAAAAAATCATGGCTTCCCAACCACAACTGGGCTGCATCGAAAGCACCACCACCTCCATTTTTGGAGTGTTTGTGTATGCTTTTAATAGGAACAATGTGATGTGAGTAAAATGAAAGAGAGGGGAAGAAAGACAGACACATGCAGTTTAAAATTTAAACATGGGGGCCAGGTCTGAAATGGGTGAAGACTATGGTTCTTTAGAAATTCCTAAATGTTTTGAGATGGCGTACATCAAGGAAAATCTTGCGAGTGACTGAACGGTTGGTTATTTTGGAGTTTACTGGTATCTAAAGATGTAACATACAGTAGATTGTTAACAAGAATCTATTCCCTGAAATTATCTGATTCATGTGGACCACATTCTTTGGGCCTTTTCCAAAAAGCAGCTTATAATTTTGATACCCACCCTCTCTAGTGCCATTATATTTGCAACCCCTTGGAATGGAAGAGGGGTAATCTTGTTGCTGAGCCATAGCCATTTTCAACATATTGGGATATGTGTTGTATAGCAGAAGTGCACAGTATCTGAAGAGAGTATATGGAAACCAGGAAAAAAATAATAATTTAAATGACAGGGCATTTAAAGTACAAAGTGGCACGGGTAGAGTGAGGAGTTACTATTGTGTTACTCTTCATTACATTGTTGTAAGCATTATTAAGTAGTGAAACCATGATCATATAACTTCAGTGCAATAGTTGCTGTTGTAGGGGAGAAATTGAATTTTCATAGTAACTCAGTAATGAAGCTTTATTTTAGGGAACATTCAAATCCGTGAACTGGTTTAGTAGACGAAAAAGGTCCCCTGTATCCCTGGCATATGCATACCATGTGCCCAAAACAATATTGTCTAGGAAGAACTTTTGTTGTGTTAAAAATCCTATCGCTTAAGATAATTTTACAGATTCAAAAAGTGAATAATTACAAATAGTGTTAAGATATCTCTTGCCTCATGACAAATCCTGAGGACAATGTTTAAAAATTCATTCTGAACTATTAAATCTAGAATGAATAACATGGTCTGGACCTATACCCACAGTTAAAAACATGAAATAGATTGAACAGCTTCACACAAAGCTTTCATAGTTTGTAGTTTTTCTGATCATATGTGCGGAACAGTGATTTAAGATCATTACCCTTTCTCAATCTGAGAGTTATCCGCGACTGGACCTAATGGTCAGGGATCCCTTTACCATTACCTTTACCCTTGCAGGATGCGGGTGGTGCTGTGGGTTAAACCACAGAGCCTAGGGCTTGCCGATCAGAAGGTCGGCGGTTCAAATCTCCGCAACTGGGTGAGCTCCCGTTGCTCGGTCCCTGCTCCTGCCAACCTAGGAGTTCAAAAGCATGAAGTGCAAGTAGATAAATAGGTACAGCTCTGGCGGGAAGATAAACAGTGTTTCAATGCGATGCTCTGGTTCGCCAGAAGCGGCTTAGTCATGCTGGCCACCTGGCCCGGAAGCTGTACACCGGCTTCCTCGGCCAATAAAGTGAGATGAGCGCCACAACCCCAGAGTCGTCCGTGACTGGATCTAATGGTCAGGGGTCCCTTTACCTTTACCTTTACCCATTCTCAATCTGTGCTGTGCAATGATTAGTATATGCACACATATGTTTGTGTATGGAAACATGCAGAGACAACTGACAGTCAACATTATTGATTCATCTGACCTTGCATTTACTGTCTGGAACATAATGCAATCAAGTTGGGTTACTTCTGCTATTTATTATTAGTGTTGAAAACTAGTATTTTATGCACATCTCAAATTGGTTGACTAAACAGTACATTCCTATATGTGTCTACTTAGAAATAAACTAACTCTTAGATGTGTAGGTATACAATTGCAGTGTCAGCTTTCTTCAGGCATAATGTTTTTTGCAGCAATTTATCTGAGCTTTTCAGATATTTACAAGTCAGGCAGCAACTCCCGAAATTGCCATGTTGATCAGTCTAGCTCTAGTACAATGTGGTAGAAATATTAGCACATATAGGATACAGTAATTACTGTTGTGCAAGAGTAGCAACAATAGCTCCAGATCCTATGGGTAAGAGGTACTTTTTAGATATAAAATACTCCCATTGTGGTTAACTTGTTTTGCAAGTAAAACAAACAAGTGAGACCTGTAACAGACCATTGCAGCATTAATTGTGCCTGTTTAGTGTTCATTCAGTTACTCATGGCCTTTCCCAGGGAACACTTTCTCTCCCTCTTCCACCCAGTCAATATTCTGTTGCACTGAGCATGCTCGGTCCTCACTGGGCTATTTTTGGGGTTCCCTCCCTTGGGGTTTCCCCCTAAAGTTGTGGTTGTTTTGTTTTGTTTCGTTTTTGCACTTTTGCAAATCTTGCCATTTCCCTCTTTCTTGAGTATGGATGGTGCTACTTTGGCTGCACAAGGATCTACATCCATCTCTGAACTTCTGAAATGGAGGGAATTGACGTCTAGAAGGACCTAACTATCATGGTCTAAGAATTATGTCAAGGTTGCTAATGTCCCTGCAGAAGTCTGGGATTTCAGCATAGTTGCTCTCTAATTGGGCAAATATTTGATCAACATTTAGAATGGTGGGGTGAAGAATGTACAGAGATATGCCTGTGAATTAACACTTCTCAGTACATTCATTCACTAAACAAGTTTTAATGCATTAATTTTGGTTTTATTAATCTTCCAGATCTTGTTTTCTGCGTCTTCGATTTTCACATTTCTCTATTCCTTCTCCTTTGAATGTACTTTTCTGTTCTGTTCCCGTCTTGTGTTTACTTCCCACAAATCTAAACATTCTGAATTTATCTCTTTCTCTATTTTGTCTAGTGTTATTTAGAATGTTGGGAAGTCTAATGCTAATCTCAAATTGTTGTGCTATTTCTGCACTTCTGCAGACTGGAATTTTACAAACTGAAAAATAAGGAGAGCAGGAGATTACTCTGAAAGCCTTTCATCAGCTAGTAATAAGTATACATTGCATAAGAAGCAAGGACATCAGACTGGCCTTTCCATTCTCTAATAGTGAACTTTCCAGAATACTACTGGAGAAACAAATGTAGACTATCCGGTGGCCTCTGCTTGTAAGAATAAACAAAAGATTGTCATTCTCCATACTTGGACATTCAGAATTTTATTATAATAATTGAAATAAGAGAATGGGGGGAAGTGCCAGTCAAAGGAAGTATTGGAATGCAGATTATTGTATGCTGGGAATGTGTAGGCTGGAACAAGCTCAAATAATAGTAAAGTATCTCACAGAGGAAAAATAAGCCAGGTTCTCTTCTATAACACTATAGTTGGTTAGTTCTTTATTAAAAGAAAGTTTGGGTATACATTTAAAAATTAGTAAGTACTTCATTTGGATTTCAATGATTTTTCCCATTTTTATGGCTACAAATGTTACTGATATTCAGAAAAGAATACACATTTATTTAAATTATGATTAGTATTCATACGGTACAACCATGCCAGGGATATTATGCCTAGATTAAGCTGTCAGTAGTGCAGGTGACTTTGAATTACGCCTTCCCATTAATTTCTTTAAAAGGCAGCATTTTAAAAAACGAACCTCATGTGTTTTTAAGTTATATTCGTACCTGTGAACAGATTGTTGTAGCTACAATCTACCAGAAATTAAAAACAATTTTGCTGCATAAAGATTCCTTATAAATAATACACCAATAAACACAACAACCAGAGGTTCTAAAACCATACTGAATGTTGGTCTTTGAATTGGGAGGTCTAGATCCAAATTGCTGTGCACCTATTAACTCACCAATTAGTGTCATGCACTCAGTTCCCTATCTCTAAAGTGGAAATATTGAAGACAGGGTTGCTGCAAAAATGAATGAGATGAAGTTTAAAGGTAATTTTTCATAGTAATGCATTTGTTAATTTTAGCCATCTCTATGCAAATGGCTTTAAAGTAAAAACAAACAAAACTGTGACTACAAATTCTGTTCTTGACTTTAGCAACCATTCAGTTCATCATAAAAAATCACTCTTTTATATTACTTTTGTGTGGAGGACTATTTTGCCAGTTGCTCTTGATCCATATAAAATGGAATTTAGCTCCATCTTTTTGTTTTGTATAGGATATTTTTGACAGTGACTGGTACACATCTCGGAACCTTATTGGAGAAGCAGATATCATTGTGATTAAATACTCTGTAAATGACAAGTCTTCATTTCAAGAAGTAAAGGACATTTATGCACCACTGATAAAAAAAGCGTTAAACCACTGTTCAATTCCTGTCATAATTTCTGCTGTTGGTGCAAGACAAAACGGTATGTGCTGGAACTCATCTTATAAACAGCTGAGGTATCGATATGAGACTAAGTGTTGGATTAATCATGGTGGGGGAAAACTATGCTGTTAGTTCAATCATGATACGCTTAATGTTTGGTCACAAAACATTTGTACTGTTGGTTAGATTTGTTATAGTCAAGAGACTTGTTCCAGAATTGCACTTCTACGTGGTTGGTAAAGCACTTAGGTTTGTGTACTCTTGTGCTGTTACTGGGGCTAAGCCAGGAAATGCAAGTTTGTCAAATTTAGTTGGTTTCAGAATTGCCGCTTTTGATATGTTTCAGCAGACTCCTGTGCACATTGACTTGAAAGTAAGTCCCAGAGTGTTCAGTGGGGCTTATACCTTAGTAAGTGTGGGTAAGATTGCAACATTAAAATGCTTATTGACATTGCATATCAGTCATTTGCTTGGAAAATTCTTTACAGTACTTGCCAAACATTTGCCTACTCTTTCACAGTATCAGTTCTGTGTGTAACAGGTAACTTCCTAACATCATTTCCTTTCCGTAGTATAGACTTTACATACTGTAGGTCAATCCCAGTAGCTAAGGGATTCTATTAAAAGGGCATACCTCTGTCACCTTTGCATTCAGAAGTTGAAGTCATGCAGGCTGTATTGTCTGTGCTAAAGCCACATTGGTACCCGTCAGGTGTGTGGTCTGCTGGGATCCCACAGATTGTGTAGGAACATAACTTATTTGAGTGGATCCTGCACAGTTGCAATTATATTAAAATGATCCAACCATATGGGCAGGTCTGATCAAAAGTGCCCGCCCCATGAAATTGGCATCCTCTCCTCATACTTCTCTGGTTAGAACCGAAAAGATTATTCGCTTCCCATGTGGGAGCCACTCATGAAAAAGTTATTTAAAGGGTGCCTGATGTGTTTGACTTGAACTTGGACTGAGGCTTTAATCCCTTTTGAGCTATGAAGCTCTGGGTAAATCCCTGCCTATAAATTATCCCACTGCACAAGTTTGTTAGGTGAAATTTATGCTCTGGCTGATGAATGCCATCTTCTGAAAAATTGGTAAAGATGGTAAAAAATGATTTTGCACATTTGATTTCTACTACTCTCTCTCGTGTATGTGAAGATCTGTTCTGAATCTCATCGTCCTTAGCTTTTGCATGAGCAGAGTCCATTGTCATAACTTTAGCTGTGCCATTGTTTCTCAAGCTTCTAATAGCTGAGATACAGATTTGAGCCCTTACTCATGAAAAGGTTTACTCAGCATGGCCCAGAGTAGTGTTACTTTATGTCTCCATTTTGGTATGCCTCATGGGTAATTTTGCTGTGTATCTGTATCATGAGCAATTGAATGATCCAGACACATCTGTGGCAAAATTACCCTGCTCTCAGTGGAAACTGAAGGAGGCTTGTCTAGAGCATTTATTCAGGCAGAGGCATAGTGGGTAGCATCTTTGAGTGGTTATTTCAGGTTGACAGGAAAATTGAAATTTTAACGTAATGTATTTATTGTGGCATAGTGACAGGCATATTAGCGTTCCTGCCCCCTAGAATGTTGTTTGGGCATTTATGAGCTATGCACCTTTAGTTTTAATGATGTTTAATGAATTCTGATGAAGGCATTATTTGTGTGAAATCTGATACAGTGTCAAAAGTGGGGGGAAAAGTTTTTGTTTCTTCCTTACTTCTGGTACTTTCCAAGCTAATGTGATTATTATTGGAAAGTAGTAGCATCAGAGTAGTCTGTAATTTCTTATTGGGAAGCATTTGTTAAAAAGTTTATTCATTACTTAATACATTGTCATGTTTTTGTCCATTATATTGTTGTAAGTTGCAGCTACTTTTAAGTGGTTTTTTAAATATAGTTGCTGTAATGCAGTCCACTGAATTCTTAAGCTTTGTTGCATTATGGGTCCCAATACCTTGCAGACCATTTCCATATGGTAGACTATTTGAAATGCTTTTTAATTAAAACTATGATGCCACTGTACTGAATAGCAACATGAAGGAAAAGGGGAAACTTTTCCAGATTAAATTTGTGTAAAAAAGGAGAACATGTACAAGAATGAAACTGCTTTGTATGGTCACACTGTTAATAAACAGTATATTCTACTTTATCTGAAAACATGCCATCAAATTCAACAATAGTTTCTACCATAGTAAGATTGTAATAATATGAACCAGTTTGATATTCATCATACTTATTATTTAAAAGGCTGCAATTTATCCTCATTGATGTAATACCTGATTCCCAATTGAAATTTCTTTACTGGAATACTTGTGGGCAGTTAACACTAAAAGTATAAAAAAGGTTGTGTTGCATGTTAGCCAAACTCTATGAAGTAAACCTTGAAAATTATCCATAGGTAATGATGCTTGGTGAAAATGTATCGATGTCTCAAATTTCTCTCTCTCTGCATTTATATATACAGATCTATGTTCTATCAAACTGAATTATACTCAGAATAGACCCATTAAAATTATTGGACCCAAGTTAGTCATGTCCATTAATTCCAGTGGGTCTGCTTTGACTATGCCTACCATTGGATCCAACCTTATATTTGTCATTTTTGTCATGCTTTTGCAAGGCAATAACTTATTTGGAGTAGTTGATAATCAGAATATAAATGACCCAAGAGAGATTATTTCAGTGTGACTGCACCACTGCTTTTACAGTAAGAACTGTCAGTAGATTTCTTTTTCATGAAATATTATCTGATGTGGTTCATAGGCAATTTGATATATCCTAGGGCATACTAGAGATTAAATTTAGGGGGCAAGAAGATCTTGTCTTTTTGAATATCAGTCCCATGTACACTGATAATACAATATAATAATGCACTTATATATTTTTATTTATAACAGCACAAGTTTGTTTTCTATGGGAATCTTTTTCCTTTAGTTAACAATGAAAATAACAGATAATGCTGTCTGCAGAGCCTTGTTTACTCTGTCTGTGGTTCTACTGACACTGCCTAGTAAGGAATGCAGAATTCTTGTGTAATATCATGCTGACTGCAATTTAGAGGAAATTGTGGTCTGGCAAATGTCCTTGCAAAGTGTTACAAGCTTTCCTCATTATTTGCCTTATGATTTATAATGGCCTACCATTGAAACTTGTCTTAAATTTTTGAAACTTTTGAGAAATTGAAAAGTGAAGTGACAATAATAAGACGCTTAATTTAATTTGGGGGGGAAAATACTGTGTCATGCAATTAATCATTTTGGCAAGCCATATTTGCATTTCAGGAGGGATCTTTGTAGAAAGCCTTGATGCAACCTTAGCTGTTATACATCAGACAAACAGCGAATAACAAGATAAGGGGTGGTATTCAGTGCTAGTCCTACTCAGAGTAGACCTGTTTAAGTAAATGTACCTTACTAGGTTCATTAATTTCAGTGGATCTACACTGAGTAGGATTTAGTTGAATACAACCCATGTTCAAAAATAGCTTGCAATAAGAAAAGTAAGATATAATATAATTAACATGAAAATTCTTGTTTAATTCTTGTTGGAGTAGCTCTGCATTTGACTTGCATTATTTATGCTGTTAATAGATTTAAAAATCTTACCTTTTGTTGAATGTGCTATTAATTCCTTAGTATGATTTTGAAGCTACTGAAGAAGAGCCAATGTAATTAAAATATTTTGCATAAATAATTTGTTTTCTCAGAAGTTCCCTGCACTTGTCCTTTGTGCATCTCAGACAGAGGGAGTTGTGTTACAGCTTCTGAAGGGATTCAGCTTGCTAAAGAACTTGGAGCTACTTATTTGGAACTGCACAGTCTCAATGATTTCTACATAGGAAAATATTTTGGAGGAGTGGTAAGTAGAAAAGAATCTCAGAATGATCAAATGGTAAGATTTCAAATATCTTTTGAAATTTGGGCTATGATTTTTTTGGATGGATATGGACATTGGTTACTGCTCTGACATTGGCACACAGCCCCTGCTCTGACCTGAAGTCCACTGGATGACATAGGTCAATATATATATATATATCTGTTTTGTACACTATCCCCACAGAGAGCCAGCATGGTGTAGTGGTTAAAGTGTTGTATTAGGACCAGGGAGAACAGAGTTCAAATCGCCACCCAGCTGTGAAGCTGGGTCAGTCACTCCCTCTTAGCCTAATATGCTTCACAAGGTTATTAAGAGGATAAAATGGGAAAGGGGAGAATCTTGTATGACACCTTGAGCTCCTTGAAGGAAAGACGGGATATAAATGTGGCAACGCATTATGACAGTTTAAACTTTAGCTTAAAGCTATCAGACAGAGTTGTTGCAAGGGTAAATTGTATAAGTGAAATAAACGGTGTAATTGGAACATTTTGCTCAAGGTACCACAGGAAATCATATTAGGAAATGGGGGTATTTTCACTGACAACAGTCTTGCACTGCCTCTTCTCTCTCTCTTTTTTTTAAATGATATTTATTGAGAATTTAAAATTACAGAAAGAGAAAGGAAAAAACAAGAAAAAAGAAAAGGAAAAAAGGTAGACAAAAAGAAAGATTAAACAATATAAGTCAATAAAAACAAAAGTCAAAAAAAACCAAACCAAACAAAACACACAATACATCAGAATCAAAAAACAAAAATAAACAAAAAATTTAAAAGCAAATCCAATATTCCCAAATCTTTATCTTTCATTAACTTGTTTCATCGACCTCCTCACACCTCCCTTTTTTGTATTCTAGTTATTAATTATCTCAGCAAATCCTTTTCATCTTTCACAATATTCTGTCATTAAATTACCTTAATCTATTTTAACCTTATCTTACCATAAAAAACCCTAAAGCTTAAAACTTAAATCTTATTTATACCTAATTCTTTTTAACAAAACATATTTATACATAATTCTTTTTAACATTTCTACTAAAGCCAAATAGTTTCATTCCAACATTTTTCTAATGCTCATTAATTTTACAATGATTTTCTAGATGAATTTTTAAAACTTTCTTCCAATCTTCATCTGTCGTCTCTTCTTCCTGGTCTCGGATTTTGTCAGTCCTTTCTGTCCCGTCCATCTAGTCCATCAACCTGGTGACCTTCTATCCGAGGCTCTTAAGTCTTTTCCATGTCCCTTCTGCAGGTCTTCGTCATGTTTATACCTGCACTTTACTTTATCTTCTGCTGATCTTATTCTTAATTTCCTTCCTTTCTCTCGGGGAGACTCCAACTTGACAATATTTTTATCCCTTCTCAATAAGTCAACCCATTCTCCATAGTCAACACTGAAATCCAAAAGATATTTGAAGGCATGTTTCAAAGTTCCTCCAAGGTTAAGGGCCCCCACAACTCCAAACTCCCCCTGGCCCAAAGCCAGATCCGAAAAGTCAAAACATCCCTGCATAGGGGGATCTTTCCAACTTCCCATCTCCAGACCAAACAGTACTCCATCTCTCCAAATCTGACTTTCTCCAGATTCAGTCGTCAAAAACAGCAACTTATGTTCCTGCATGGCCGCAGCTCTCTCCATTTCTGGTACTTGAGGTTCAGCAACTACTTCCTCCTTTATCTTCTTCACCACTTGCTCTGTCAAAGCACATTCCTGGGTTAATTCCTGAGTGGTTTCTATATAAGTATTCACTGTTTGTCCAAAATTTCCAACTGCAACAGTCATCAAATCCATCTTCTCATGTAGCTGTTCCAGTAAAGCACTTGTCTTGCAAAAAGCAAGCACTAAAGCTTCTTCTGGGCACATTCTTGTTTAAGGTCGGTGTCTAATTCCCACAATCTTTTATCTCTACAGCTGTAGAATTCCCCAGATCAACTCCAGCAACAGTTTCACAAGCTCCCTCTAGAGGAAACAATTTCTATTTGTATCCGTCTTTTTAAAAGCAGACCTAGCAACAAAGTTCCTTTCGTTTTCCAGATATTTTGTTCCTTTTAAGTGCAAAAGGGAACATTGGAATCAATATGTTTCTCTTTTTTAACTATCTGTCAAAAACGTTTTATCCACAGTCAATGAACTTCCCCAAAGTGTCTGTCTCTGACACCCCGCTCCCAGGATCAAGACGGTGGAAATTTATCTTTCTTTACTCTCTCTTCTGCAGGTTTAAACAGTCTAAAAAGATTCCCCCCTCTTCTCCTGCTTCCAAGGGGGGTATAGTGATTTTAACTGATGGAAATTTAGTCCTTTACAAACGACTTTCCAGACTCTAGCTTGTAATGTCTTTGCTTCAATCTATTTACAAAAGCGGAAGGCGGACTTCCTGTTTAGACCTTCCCGCTTCGGTGCCAAATTAAAAAGTTTTTTAATCCAATTTTCCGTTCTACTCACGGGCAGTTGTTTAAAATCCAATTGTCCACAGGAAAAAGTCAGCGCTCTCCGGCAACAGCAATGCGGCTTCACTCCGTGAAAAGAGCAGTCGATTCGAAGCACCATGCCATTCACCCCACGTCGCTCCGGATCCCCGAAACTGGGTTTCCCCGCGAGTAGGGGAGGCGCAAAAGGTGCCAGCCGAATCCCACGTCCACAGGCTTCTCCCGCCTGTGGTTTTTAGTGGGTCTCCACCTCGCCGCGGCGGTCCAGACCCTGGTTCTCACGAAGCGGATTCCTCCTGGTCAGAGGAAATCCGCCTTTGCCGGAGGCGCTAACCCGGAAGTCCCGCACTGGCTCTTCTCCAAGCCATTTTTAAGGCCACCTCCTTCATTGTTCAAAGTTCACTATTTTGGAAGGAGAAAGTCTACATGTACAGTGGTACCTCGGGTTACAGATGCTTCAGGTTACAGATGCTTCAGGTTACAGATGCTTCAGGTTACAGACTCCGCTAACCCAGAAATAGTACCTCGGGTTAAGAACTTTGCTTCAGGATGAGAACAGAAATCGTGCTCCGGCGGTGTGGTGGCAGCTGGAGGCCCCATTAGCTAAAGTGGTGCTTCAGGTTAAGAACAGTTTCAGGTTAAGAACGGACCTCCAGAATGAATTAAGTTCTTAACCCGAGGTACCACTGTAATGAATAGTACTTGGAGGAGTGGAACTTAATTAAATTGAAATGCAGCAAAAGTGTTTCAGCACTATCGTGAATGTGCTTTCTGAAACACCTTTGAGTTCAGTGGGACTTGCTCCTAGTATGCGAGTACAGTGGTACCTCGGGTTACATACGCTTCAGGTTACATACTCTTCAGGTTACAGACTCCGCTAACCCAGAAACAGTTTCAGGTTAAGAACGGACCTCCAGAATGAATTAGGTACTTAACCCGAGGTAGCACTGTATAGTATTACGCCCTTAATCTGGACGCATTTCGTACAGTTGCAATATGTAATAAGTGCTGTTGTTGCATACTCCTAGCTGGGGCAACGCTGCCGCTGATTAGTATGGATAGGGCAGCGGAAGCAATGGGTTGGTGGTGGCATTCAGGGGTGCACGTAAGGGTTGGGTTGGCCCCTGCTAAGGACGCAGGCCCATGAGGGCACAAAAATTGTGCCACTTTGAGTGGCTCGGAGCCCATAGCCGTCTTTCCTATTGGGTTTACTGGCGCATTGCGCCAGGGCGCTGGCCTCTCGGGGCGCCCAATGAGTGGGGGAGCTGCGTGGCTTTTCCGGCGGCCTCCCCTTCCCTGCATGCCTGCCAGCTGTGCCCCGTCAACCATATGGCTGGCGGGCGTGCAGCTTGCCTCCCAAGCCTCCGTGGGAGGAGAGCGATCCCCACAGAGGCTTGGGAAAAGGTCAACAGCTCTGGGAAATGGAGGGGGGCAGCATGCCGGAGGGATCTTTGCACCACGGCGCCAGATACACTTAAGACGGCCCTGTCAGAGCCCATCTGTGCTCTCTTTTCTGAGCGGCTGGGCAAGACCTGCAGGCTCCTCTGGGTGCCTTTGCAATAGAATCCAGTCACTTGCTGGGGGCCCCTCCCCAGTGGGTGGTGGTGCTATTAGAAGTGTGAGGGCTCAGATGGAAGAAAGAAGTGGCAGGGTGAGAGTTGCAGGAGGAGGAAAAAGGAAGGGAGGGTGGAAGAAGGCAGAAGGGAAAGCAGGAACCAGAGGGAGGGAGGAAAGCAGGCAGATGGACCAGTGGAGGAGGAGGTGGTGCAGAGCAGACCCAACTCCAGTGGCCAAGGAGGAAACAACTGGCAGAGTGCAATAGGTGATGAAAAGCAAAGTTTTTGAATTTTGGGTCCAGGGTCTCTCCTGGCTTCAGAGGAACCAATATATCTCCTCAATATATCTCTTCAGAGGGGTGGCGCTGATACATCTCCTTGCCAAGGTCACAAAGGAGCCTAGGTACACCTCTGGTAGCAGTGTGCCTAAGCACATGTGCATCACCAGCCTGTCCTTCCTCATCCCAGTCTTGGCAAACAGCAGCTTTGAGGATGGTACAGTGGCAATTCCCTCACATGCCACAACTAGTTTAAAAATGATTTAGGCTGCAGTTATATGCACATTTTCCTGGTAATTAATCTCATGGAAGGCTTTCTTCTGAGTAGACATTCAGAGGATTGGGCTGTTAATTTAAAAGGTCTCTAAAGTGATAAATAGTTCATTTCAGTTCATTAATTACATTAGCCATTGGCTAGCCATATCAGATTTTTTTAAAGAAATGGTTTAAATGGATACAGATTACACCCAAAGTCATAGAGCAAATGACATTCTCAAATGAATCACTGTCTTGAAAACAGTAGCAATAGATTCCAAATTATTTCTGGGAAACAATATTTAGTGCCATTAATGGATTTGCCAATCTTAATTGTGTATTGGAAGTGAGCCTGTTTTAAGATTTCTACAGTTTGGTTTGCAGTCAGTAGGCACTTTAGTTTGTCTGTTGAATCAGCTACTTTAAAAATGAACTTCAATAGACGTTCAGTTTATCCCATGGAAAACAGGATAGTTAATGTGCAGAGTAGTAATTTAGCTGTGAGGGAGCTAATTGAATACATATTATGTTGATTTGTTATTGTTTTTAAATTAACATCTGTGAGAGCTGTCCTCATTTGCTTGGCTTTGCCTACTAAATTTATTCTATAAGCACTTTGGGCATGGTGTTCCTTCCTTGTACTAATTTCTATTAGTGTTATTTTGAAGCAGGAATGATAAAGGCTAATCTTTTAAAGATTTGTTGGTATAAGATTTGTTGGTATAATAAACAATACCTCATTTCATCAAGTTTGGATGATTTTTATGTTCTTCCTTCAGAGAGGCTTATGAGGCCCCCATTGCTGCACCAAGGAGGCTCAGTGCACAACAGAGCACCTAGCAGAACTATGGCAAGGCACTCATAAGCATGGGCATAGGGACTGGCATGTACCTGTGAGCTCTAGAGTCTACTTCCATAAAGAGAAGGCCAGCTCTGCAGCCTGTCCAGTGTATGCAAATCTATGGACTAGATTATGTTCTTTCTTAGCTGCTAAGTTTGTATCAAAATTTACTTCTTTACTTGCAAGTAAATGCCTCTGTGGTTTGGTCTTGGGTTGGAGCCAGAATAGTCCTCTCTTGCACTGGGCACCCTATACACCCTTTACATAAAAGGCCTTCCTACAAAACGTTTTCAAAGACTGTTTAAAGTTTCAAAGAGGAGGAGGCTTATTGCATTTCCACTGGCAAGGAATTCCATAATAAACATAGAGGCTGCTGGAGGAAATGCTCTGTTTCTTGTACTCGGCAGATGAGGCTAATTTAATGGGAGAAAGGCTAAAAACCACATGGAGATTTGGACTCTTGGTCAGTTCTGAAACATCCAAACTCTCTAAAACTAACATCAAAACTATAGAGTCATCCTTTCTACTTTCTTAATATTTTCTAAATGTTCAGCGCTCCTGCTTTTGTATGAAAAGGTACATAAGAAATTTGTTATCTTTCAAGTTGATTAAAGTGTCCAATGAGCATTTAACCATAATTGATCTGCTGTGGTTTCTTAAATAAATCTTAGAAAGTTAAGTAAATATATGTGTGTATATTTTATTTTAGCTGGAATATTTTATGATACAAAGCTTGAATCAGAAATCTTCTGAAAAAATGAAGAAAAGGAAAAAAAGCCATAAGTGCCATGGAGTTAAGCCACCTCAACTTGATCAGCCAGGTATAATTTCCAACAGAGCACATCTAAGTGACAGGAGATGGAGGGAGAATTTATCAATTTTAAAGCCCTGCTGGCCTGTGGTGTGTGTGTGGGGGGGGTGTGTCTTCTTTTTATGGTTCTTTTGAGTGTGTTTTTGACAAACCCTCCCATTTCAATGGAAGAGAAATTAACACAGTAGCTCTATACTTGTGTAGTTGATGGGTCTGATCCTAGGATCACTCAGGGGGATGGAGGGCTCTGGTAGACAATAGGCTGCCCTATCCCTGGAATGCCCTGTTTTGGGACTAACTCCTGGCAGGCTTGCTGTAGCAGAGGGGCTTCAGGGCCTACGGGAAAGTATGAGCTACAACAAATAATTATAGTACTGGTGCCAGTATCTGAATAGAAGCCAGCTGCAAGTTCTCTGGCACCTAACAGCTTTTGTTATTCATGCTCCACTGGTATTATTTTCCACCCCACCCCACATCCTCTGCTGGCCAGATGGCAAAAGGGCCCTGGCCCATAATGAGGAATCAGGTGAGTTTCTTGAACTCTGATTACATTAAGTGCATGGCTGCTGTCAAAAATGCTGTGTAGCTCCTCAGACTCCTCTGGCATCTAGTACAATTTACCCTGACATCAGAATGTTCTGCATTTTTTTCACTATTACAAGCAGTTGCTGGTGATGTTCAGTATAAAACATAGTTTGGCCTTTGTGAGTATGCAGCCTTTTATCCTCACAGTCCTCTGGCTATATTGTTTAAAACAACTGAAGTTCAAGCAATTCTCCAATGATTAATTTCAGAAACATCTAATTTTTTAGTAAATGTTTTTACAGTTTGTATTAACCTGAGAAGTTAGAGAAATTGGGCTTCCTTTGATGGCCAAAGTGTAGTAAAGAGAAATGTATTTAGGGCAGTTAGGAAAACGCTGTTATGTCCTCATTTAATCCAGTCCCAGGGAATAAAAATGCTTTTGTTTGCATTGTGCCTAGTGCAAATTTGGAGTTACAAACAGTTTATTCATGATTTCTATTTTTTTTTTTTGGTTTTGTTTTAGAAAAAATGCCAATCTTAAAAGGTGAAGCCTCGCATTATGACTCCGATTTACATAACCTGCTGTTCTGTTGCCAGTGTGCAGATGTGGTATTTTATTCTGAAGACTTGAAGGAAGTAGCAGAAGCTCACAGGATTGTTCTGTGCTCTGTTAGCCATGTGTTCATGTTACTCTTTAATGTGAAGAGTCCAGCAGACATTCAGGATTCCTCCATCATTCGAACTGCCCAGACCCTCTTTGCAGCAAACCGGCAAGCTGTGCTTCCTGTTTTAAACCACAACTCATCATGCAACTCACCAGTAAGAGTCATTGTTAAAGACTCTTTCTTCTGTTCTTGTTTGTCAGACATTCTGCACTTCATTTACTCAGGTATCCTGTCAGAATGGTTCTGGCTGTTTTTTGTCTTTTAGCAAGAAAGAGCTAACCTACTGCAATGGGGCTGCATACCATCTCGCTAGAGGCCTAGTTCTCGTTGTTGTAATAAATCTGCACCTGAACTTAACCACTTCAGACTTGAAGTAGATGCATACAGATTACTAGCATGTCAGGGAGTAGACTATCTGAAAACTTTTCTTCCAAATGTCTGGTGTTGTTTATGTAGGAATTTATTTATTTTTTAAAAAAAGAAGGAGATTTCAGTGGGAAGTGTAAAATTGTGCAAACAAAAGTTCTGGCAACTTTAAGTTGGTTGGGCACCAGACTATCCCGTTCTCGTCATCTTTGTTGTTTTCTGATTATTACATATTTTAAGAACCTTTGCTGAATAGTGGTGATGGAGGAAAAGTGATATTGATGACCACACTTGGAGATGATAGACTTTGGCACTTGGTTACTCTACTAAGGAGGTGCAATAAAGCAATCCACCAAGCTATTGCAGTCAAGAGCCTTTGAAGAAGGAAACAAACAAACAAAATGGAAATAGTGCAGTGGCACTCTTTGGTGGATTGTACACCAATTTTACTGCCCTAAGATTCCTTAAACCTGTGTGCTCCTGTCTACACATGGAGTTCTTGCTCTTGAAAGGACTGTTCCTTTCAGTGTGTTTGAGGACAACTCCAGTCACATTCTTATTGGGTTTATTGCACTAGGTGGGGATGCCATATTCTCCAGGAAATCTGTTTATGCATCAAAACACATGCAGAACTCTGAATCTAGGCATCATGTCTAAACGTGTATTTTCTTCCAAGTCTGATGCTGAAATGTTGTTGTTGTGTATGTGTGCATTGAGGGATGCAACTTCACAACCTTTGCAAGGCCAGTTGTTCAAGGGCAAACAGATTCCTCCTCTCCAGTTCTAATTATTTCTTTATTTAAAAGTCAGGAACTGGGGAGGTAGTTTTGTCACTTCTCGTCATTCACACCATAGGGATGTCTTATTAGTGCCAATGACACCCACATTACTAACATCAAGCACAATAACAGTGACTTTGCTATTCGGGCATGTGGAGAGGCGAGATTTTCCTTTTCCCAGGTACCAAATATAGTTAATTCAGTGATATAAAAATGCAGTGTCCCTGCGGCAGAATTGCCACCCCCTGAGAAGATGCTTGGGTTGTGTTCAGCACATATTGGTAATAACTGCATTTCTGGAACTAAAAAACTGATAGCCTGAGAGGAGCCATAGCCTAGACGTATTGTTTATCTCATCTCCACAGGTGCTTTCCAATGGGAACTATTAGAAGAACATATCAAAAAGAAGCTGAAGGATCTTGGGAACGTTGAGCTTGTTCTTGAGAGAGTAAAATGTATCTTGAAAATTCCAGGAAAGGTAAGCCACATTATTTTATCTTTCAGTTGCACTTACTGGATTGCAAAAAGGACCAGATTGGATCCCCCAGATACAATATTTATCAGTAAATGGTGTTAAGTCCAAATGACTCACCATTAAGTTCAGTATTAGTTAGGCTATAGAAATAGGGGAAGATGGTGAATTCAGCAACTGGAAAGATTATAAACTTTTTGAATATGTGGGTTTAATAACTCAGGGGAGATGATGACAGAGTATTCAAAAACAATCCTTATTAAACAATTATTTCTTTATTAATATTCTTCCTAACAATGAAAGAGTTTAAAATGCAGCTATGGGAAGCTTAAATGCTAAGTGTCAGGTTTCAAAGGGGAAAATATTTGGTTCATATAAGGGAGCATTACTTTATTTTGTTTATGAATGTTGATGCAGAAGCAGCCCTGCTGTCTCACTAGGTGAAGCAGCTGTCTCAGGCTGCCAGCTTTTGGATACCTTTAAGAGAGACACACTCATCTGACCCAAGGCTGGGACGCAATGTGCATGGGTGGTCTTTTGCACAACAAGATAGGTGCAGGATAACTTTGTGATGGATTGTGCCCCCTGGTCAGAAACAAAGTGTCGTGTTCAGGATTCAATGTATGCGTAGGAGAATGTTACATTTCTTTTTACAACCTCCCCCTTGATCTTCCCAGTGTTAGGTGTCTAGCTAGAGGAACATCCCAAATGGTGAGGGTCTAGGGTCTGCTACTGGAGGGGAAATATTGATTACTACCCTGTGTAAGAATTATGGTCTGTGGGACGCTATATGCATCCCCGGGGGGTGGGGTGGGGGAGCTTACAATGGCAGTCTACATATTTAGAGTAAGAACCATTGTGAGATCCCTATTTATGCTAGAAGAAATGCAAATGGAGGAAGAGCTTTTGAAAGTGTGCAACAGATGTTGCTGATCAGTTGTGAATGAAGTGAAAAAAACAGGCTCAGTGGTTTTATATCGTTTGCTACAAAAGCAGGAACAAAGGTAGGCACTTAAGAAGCATTGGTACTCACATGTTCCCCTGTCTTTTCCTTTTTCAGGTTAACAGCTCAAGAAATTGCAGATCATATTTGTCAAAAAGGCCCCTGCAGTTATGTAACAGCTCTCTCAGGCTCTTCTTTAACACAACTGTATTAGCGGATGTCATGTTCAAAATACAAGGTATTAAGCTTATCTCATTTGTTTCCCCACCTTTTCCCTTTAAATAGTCAAACAATGATAAAATACCTCCTGGTGATAAATTGAATAACTATTTCAATAAAAATGAGTGGCACCATCAATATGCTTTCATGATCTATAATATGAGGGGGAATTCAATATGCAAGAGCCTATCATAAGAAGAGCCTGCTGGATCAGGCCAATGGCCCATCTAGTCCAGCATCCTGTTCCCACAATGACCAACTAGATGCCTGTGAAAAACTTGCAAGCGGGATTCGAGCACAAGAGCACTCTTCCCTCCTGTGGTTTCCAGCAATATTTATTATCGTGTTGCGAAAATGTTTCAAAGACGAATGTATGATAGGAGAGGGGGGAATCTCATTTGATATTTGATTATATTGCAAAATCCCAATTACAGCAGTGCCTTTAGTTGGCTGTCTAAAATAATCACAAAATAGTTTCAAAGCTTCCAGGTCTCCCAGAACTTTTAAGCAGGCTAGATGGTAAAAACAGAGAAGTGGATTACATTTTTTAAAGCTGATTTTAAAGTCATGGAGCCTGTACCGTTGAACCACGGTTGTCAAATGTAATCCGTTCTGGAAGACTTCCGAAACATTCGACAACCAAGGTGCAATTGCCAGTTGGCAAAACCCATTGAAAAATGGAGAAATGCACCTTGGAAGCCATTCGACTTCTGAGGCGCGTTCGAAAACGGAAGTATTCACTACCGAGTTGTCAGAGTTAGAAAACCAAAACTTTCTACTTCCGAAGCTTTTGACAACCGAGGTTCTGCTATATCTGATCAAAGTCTCAAAACAATGGGGAAGGAGGTAGTATGAGAATGGTTAGGGGCCAGCTGGGAAAAAGAATCATAAATGTGGCTGATTCCTGATCTCTCAAAACTCAAGAATTGTCTGTTATACAGGTCTGTCTCCAACCTTAGGCAAAACACACAGGTTTCTTAGTAGGTGGAAACCACGACGCAGGCCTGTTATAGCTTCTGGGCTTGACAAGGCATCTGACCCTCACCTGAGCCTTCTCCAGCTGAGGAATCACACACCTCCTCCCTGAGCTAGCGAGCCCCACCTGGACTGTGGGTCCTTGCCTGCCTTCCCTCAGAGCTGACAGCTGTAAGTTCTAGAATCCTGAGATCAGGGGTGGTACGTCCTAATTTTGCCACTTAAGGCAAAACAAGAAGTGCCACACTGTTCTGCCACACCACCAGTGGGACACTCACTACCACTTAGCCACCTACTGGTGGCACTGCAGCTGTACCACCAGCTGTGTCACCGCTTGTGGAGAAGCAGTGGTGGCCTTGGTCCGTGAAAGAGCTTGCAAGATCTCTCTCAGATCTCAAGAGATATTTTGCACTCCTAGACATCTTTCAAGACTTTGCTGAGATCTCGCAAGATCTCGCAGGAAATCAGCACCTATCCTGGCACCACTTCTCAGCCAGGACGCAGGCCTTATATTAGTGAAGGTGAGAGCCACATAGCACCTAAATAGCCTCATGTTAATGTCTGCTAGTGCCCCCCCCCATTCCATTGTAAGACTATGTCCAGATTCAAACTCCATGTTTTCAACAGCAACCAAACAATAAAAAAGAAATCACCCACCTGTCCCCACATTGCTCTGTTTACCATCTAGCTTGATGAACTGTTCTGTAAAACTCAAAAACTTGCAATTCTAACTTGTCCTATTTTGGTTGGCCTATATATTGGCCTAATTTTCTTATATGCCAACACAGCTGCCTTTACAGATGATACTGGCATTTTTTCATTTTTGCCTTGCCAGTCATGGACCTTTATTTGCTGTCCTGTGTACTATTAACAGTGCGTAATCTCATTGACTTCAGTGGGATTTAAGCAGGATTTTGTACAGAATTGCAAGCCTTAACTACTTCTATGCCTATACACAGACAGGAGTAGTGGCAAGAATCAGAAGAATCTTTATTTGCATCAGCCACTAGCCATAGCAATAAAATAAAATGTACTGAAGAAAGAGGTAAAAACTTAACTATACCAAATACATTTTGGAGTTTTACATCACTAATCAAATAATAGATCTTATTCTAGTTGCCTCCGCTAAAAACCTTGCAGTTTTTGCTGCAAGTAGTGGCAAGTATTTTTGATCAACTTCAAACTTCTGCTTGCACAGGATTAAAGAGTTGTTTAATTATTTTGCTTTCAGCTTTGAAAAGCCACAGCCAAGTCTGAATCTCTATGAACTAGGCACATGCGTACAAGGGAATTCTTTTCTAGATGCCGCCTTCAGAGAAAACAAACAGTCCTTTGAAAGGAGAACAAAATACAAATGCACAGCTTGGTGAGACAGACAGCTCAGTTCTAAGGGCTACTCTTTGGACAATTCTTGTAGGAAGTTGAGGGAACAATAGGTTTCATTGCTTGCCTCAAACAAATGCCACAGAGGAATATATTCATATTAACAAGAGTGCAACCATATATTACAAACAGAACACAATGAAAATGAATTTGTACTTTTTAAAGTGTTTTGTCTTTAGAGCTAAAAACACCTAATTTAAGAATGTACTGCACAAAAGAGTGCTGTTGTGTTTACCAGATTGCATCCAGATTTTTGTCAGGACACACAGATCAGTCCCTAAGACTTTTTAATTCCAGTAATAATAGGAGTACCTCTGAGGATGTGAAAAGTCCTATTCCTTCCTTACTGAAGGATCCCAGGCATTAAACCAATAGTTCCAAGTTATAGAGCATGGCACTAAGACAGTTTTGATCCTGGAACAGTTATTTTAAAAAATGAGCCTCTGACTGTGCATTTTAAATACTTAAATACTCATAAGTTAGGCCTAGAGATGAATAAAATTATGGGTAAATGCCTCACCAGTGCATTATTTCTCACATACTGCTGCAGATCAATGTATTAGAAATGTGAAATGCTGGAGCCATTTAGAAGTCTTTCTATTGCAGAGCAAATGTCACTTTGCTTCTATCAGTGCTTTTTTCAAAGAATTAAGCCCTATTCAGGCATTTTATTCAAAACTGAATTGATCATGTGAGGAAAGAGTGGGGCTGCAGCAAACAAGAACATAACTCTGCCCCTGATACCAGTGCTGAGTAGCCCTGCTCTCAGGCACCTCTGTCTACAGGACACACATTGGCTGGGTGGGAATCTTTACTCAAATAGCTGAGTGCACAAAGCCTTCTATACTATATGGAACCCTGAATAGTTAGGGTTGCAGATGATGTGGAAGCCTCTTGCAGACATTTGCGTTATATGCATGGATGCCATATTTACAGATTGGTGCAACAGATCACAAAGTTTCAGTGGGCAGCATTAATAGAAAACACACACACACAGTCTTTTTCTTTGCTGGTGCAATAAATTACGGAATTTGGGTTCAGGCCAGTGTGCCATATAATTTTAAGCATATTTACTCAAAAGTAAAACCTACTGAATTAAATTGGACTGATTCCCACAGTAAATGTGTAGAGGATTGTAAACTTAGGTGTACTGAAGGCAACCAGAGTAGATCCAGAAACCAAATATTTCATCCTAAATGGACAATGGGTTCAGATCCCATTAAGTGAAGGCATCACTATAAATCCTGTCACTTCATATTGTTTTATATTGTAAAATTTGTTAACCATGGCAGATTTTTCCTGAAACACCAGTGTTCAATATAAGAAAACATCGCTCTTAAATTAGGAATGAGAAACTGTGGCCCTTTGTGTGTTATTGTACTTGTAACTGCCATCAACCCTGTAGTCCAATAGCATCTAGAGTGCCACAGTTTCCGCATCCCTAACTTAGATACATTTCAGCACAAAAATGTTGAAATCATTGCCTTGTTTTTCTTTCTCTCCCCCACCCCTCTTCTTGCAGGTGCTACAGTGCCTGCTCACAAAGCAGTCCTCGTGGCTCGCTGTGAGGTAATGGCGGCTATGTTCAACGGTAACTATGCAGAATCCAATAGTTTTCTGGTTCCAGTTTATGGCATTTCCAAAGACACTTTCTTGTCCTTTCTAGAGTATCTGTATACGGATTCCTGTTGTCCAGGTAAACAAATATTTAAGCTTTTTTTGTATATTCATATACTTCTGGTGCTCTGGTTGCTCCATTGGTGAAGGAAGAGGGAACAGAAGTAGATACCATCTTATCATTTTTCTTCTACAGCTGAGCAAGGCTGCAATCCTGTGCAGACTTCACTGGAAGTACTGTATTTTTCCGTGTATAAGACGCCCCCATGTATAAGATGCCCCCTATTTTGGGGGGCTCCAGATTAAGAAAACACTCCTCAGCACTATCTGTGTATAAGACGAACCCCAATTTTAAACCTAATTTTTTGGTTAGAAGAACCTAGTCTTATACACGGAAAAATACAGTAAATTCCATTTAACACCATGGAACTTACTTCCAAGTATACTTGCATATACTCTGCACAGCTGTAATCCTAAATATAGTTGTTACGAACTAAGTGGACTTGCTGCTGAGTACATTTTGCATAGTGTTGTAGCTTTTGAATTTTCTGGTTCTTAACCTTGGATTTTTTTATATTGGGTGAAAATATTTCTGGGCATTCCTGGATTACATTTTAAAGGCTCAGTTCAGGCCAGCTTCAATATGAGTGACTCCTAGTGCTACTCAGTCACTGCTCTTTTGTTGGAAGCTACAGGCAGAATCGTAATTGACTTTTCACACTCCCAGGAGTATGATGGTTTTTCTATTATCACTCCATGTTTTGTCCACAACAGTGTGGCATAGTTGTTGTATATGGGGGACAGTTGAACCTTAGCATACATTTACTTTGTGGTGGGCACCTTTTTATGATCTTTCCTTTTTTTATCAGTATTTCAATTATTGGTAAAGTGTTTTTCTAGCCCAAGAGAGAGAAGGGTTTAACATCATTATTACCAAAATGTTATAATGTTAATCTATTATGGTGCTGTAATACTATAATACAATAATGTTAAATATGTTTTTAAGCTTTCTCCTCGTTTTAGCGACATGGTTAATGGTGGTGTGACCAGAAAGGGGTAGGGATTGTTTAAATCATAAAAAAACACCATAGACTTATAGTACCGTGCCTCCCTTTCGTTTTAAAAAACAGTCGGAAAAGTGTTCTAGTGATAATTAAGAGGTTGATTTTTTAAAAAGAAATGGGCTGTAAAATGGCACTCATTGCAAATTTTATAATAAATGCCTGCTGAGCTGTGATAGGTCCTCTTTCTTAGTATGTCACTGTCCACATTAAAAAAAAAAGCTTTAAAGAAGGCGGAATGGTAATGCAAAAGGCGTTTATTTTCACCTGGAGAGATTGTGCTGCTCTTCTGTTCCTCTGAAAAAAAAGACTTTCTGCGGTGTGAGAAAAGACAAAAGAACCACAGAGAAATATAAGATAGCAATAATTGAATGATGTCATCATGTTGGATGACTTGTAAAAAGCGAATGAGTGTAAAATCTATACCCCCAATACAAATAGACAACCAAGTACACCGTTCAGAATTTTTTTGGCTCAGAGCTAATGAAAACAAATAAGAATAAAAGGCTGAAAATAAAAAAAACTACAACATAGAATATAGATAGCTACACTTCAAAATCTCCACATTTCTCAAACCACTAATATCCATGTGTCTCACTGTGAGAGGAATACCCAACGCGCAAATTTCTATCCAGCATTGTGCAAGTAGAAATTTGTGGGTTGATAATTTATATCCAATCAATATGTGACATGCCACCCACACCTTTATTTGTTACTCAGGGAATTTCCTCTACCCACACTGCCCCATTCCCAGCTGACTCATTCCTCGCTTCAGATCTCATTAAATAGTTGTTTACCAGACACACCCAGCTGTGTACTCGGTCTCCCTGACCCCATTGTAAACAGACTGCAGACTAACAAAATACTTCCCTTTTTGTTTCAGAATCAACACTGAAATTGAGTTTGTATTAACTTCTATAAATTAACTTTTATTAATAATAATAATGGTTAACATACGTTCTCATAAAAAAAAAACAACCCTCAAAAGAAATGTTTCAGGTTGGTTTCTTGTTAAATAGGGCATGTTAATGTGAATATTTTATGGTATGACCTTGAAAACTACTGGGTGTTGATTTGATAACTATATTGTAGATTGCAGTGGCAATCCCTAAAATTATATTCCCCCAAAGGGAAAAGAAACAGCACTTTAAAAGAAAGAAATCACATCTCTCTCTTTTTATTCATTTCACCCTCTTTTCTTTAGTTTCTTTCTGCCATTTGAGGAAGCAGGCACTCAAATATTCTGAAACTATAGCTATGCTGCTGTCAGTGTGTGTCATGGGGTTTCCCAGTTGGCAGCTACAGGAAAAGAAAGGACCTTGTGTACTCATTGGGGTGGCCCTATCTGCAGCCAGCAACAGGAACTCCTTGATTATGCAGGACTCTGCAGCATGGGTCATACCTTGCACTTAGTAAAATGAGTCTCCCAAGAGACATATTCACCACCCAGTTAAATACAAATAGTTGGATTTAAGTTTATTTAGTTCTATAGATGCCAGTGAGATTAAATCATACTTCAGCTAAAGTAGATTGTGGACAGATCTCCTTTAGAACCACCCTTTATCTCAAGAAGGATGCTTTGTGATTGGTAAATGGAAGGGGACTCTTCTGATAGCTCTTGGCATAGCCATTTTGGACTCATAGCTAGTAAACTAGTCAATTATGTGTAGAGGAAGAGCGGCTTAAAAATGACCACTGACCTGTTTGAATCAGGGAGCATAGAAGAGCACCAGTAACAGACATGTAGGGGTTGCGTTCAAGTGGTCAGTAATCTAACTCAGGTTTGATATTCTTACCAGCCAGCATTCTGCAAGCTATGTCGCTCTTGATTTGTGCTGAGATGTACCAGGTGTCAAGGCTCCAGCACATCTGTGAGCTGTATATCATCACACAGCTCCAGAGTATGCCTAGTAGGGAATTGGCATCAACAAGCCTGAGTGTTGTCAGCTTGCTTCGGAAAGCAAAGGTAAGTGCTAAGCATCAAATACATGCACATTTCCTTCAATCAATGCTTGAGTAAGGAAAAGGTTTCTCTCTGGCATTTTTTTCCCCCTTGCCAGCGAAAGCTGCGGTGTTCCAAAGTATCATTTTTTATTTCATGGTTGCCATCTGGCAGTAAACAACAATAACAGCAACAAATTGCCACGGCTGCTCCTGTCCCTTTAGCAATGGCTTGAAGAAATTAGCAGATTAGTCTTTTTCCAGAATTGAGCTAAGCATAGCATCTGTTAAATGGTCAGCTACAACAGTGAAGGAGGGACATGGGTGGCGCTGTGGGTTAAACCACAGAGCCTAGGACTTGCCGATCAGAAGGTCGGCGGTTCGAATCCCCGCGACGGGGTGAGCTCCCGTTGCTCGGTCCCTGCTCCTGCCAACCTAGCAGTTTGAAAGCATGTCAAAGTGCAAGTAGATAAATAGGTACCGCTCCGGCGGGAAGGTAAATGGTGTTTCCGTGTGCTGCTCTGGTTCGCCAGAAGCGGCTTAGTCGTGCTGGCCACATGATTCGGAAGCTGTACACCGCCTCCTTCGGCCAATAAAGCAAGATGAGCGCTGCAACCCCACAGTTGGTCCCTTTACCTTTACCTTACAACAGTGAAAGAGCTATCAGGAAATGATACCCACTTCAAATATTAAGACCATAAAGTCGGGGTAGCTAACTTTTTATCGCCTTCCAGCTGTTGCCGGACTATCACTCCCGTTATGCTGGACCATTGCCCATGCTGACTGGGGCCAGTGGAAGTTAGAATGCACAACATCAGGAGCACCACAGGTCCACCACTCTTGTCATAAAGTGACCTATCAAAAGCCTCCACCCACTACTAACTTGGCCTGTGATGTTCTCTTCACAAGTCTATGAGAATTGTTACCGTTTCTTCTACCTCAGAATTATCGAATGACTTGGTTTATTCTAAATCCTCTTGGTTTATTTGTTTTTCTTCTTCTTGTTAGGATAGGTTGTAATTTCTGTAAAGTGCAGGAAGAATGTATATATAGGTTGTGGCCAGTGTTAGTTGTACTCATAGTAGACTCATTATTACAATTAGTAGAGACAACTAACTTGGGTCCATTAACAGCACAGGGTTTACTTTGAGTAGGACATAGTTGGATACAGCTCATTGCAACAGGCAAAATGAAGCATATGCATGTGTGCGTATAAAAGGCGGACACTGGAGTAATAAGCAGTTTCTATTAGTGTCACATAGATGGGGTAACTGGGTGTTCCAGTCACAGCAAAGAGATGACATTTCTAGGTAAACGTCTACCCATTTTAGTTAATGCTTTTGCCAAAATGTGTTTTTCTATAATATTCGAGTACCTCTGTATTTTATTTCCATTTCTTGCAGTTTCACAACTCTGATTGCCTTTCAAACTGGCTGCTTCATTTTATTGCTTCTAACTACTTAATCTTCAGTCAAAAACCTGAATTTGAAGACCTTTCGGGTAATTTACCAGTTTGCTTCCTAACCACAAAGAAGTTGATGTTTGGACTAATGCTAGGGTGGATTGGAGCAACTCAGTCATGCTTAGAATAGTCACATTGATTTCAGAAGGTGTACTCTAAGCATGATGAGGTCTGGATCCAGCTCATTATCAACATGAGTGCACACTGTCACTGATGTTATTTTAGCAGTGATAGGATGATATCTTGCCCACCAACCTTTAAATCACCTAGAATCTGCCATTCCAACTTTACTATGGAATTGATGGAGCTTTGTCAGACAAACAGGTAGTTTCATGAATGCATCAGGGGGACAACATATCTGTAATTGTTGATATGCCACACTGTGGACATGACACAAAATTATGAAGAGGAATTATGACGACTTAATTCAAGAAATTTACAGATGTAAAGAAAAATAGAGGTTGGTGCATAACTTGTTCATACAAACCTACCCCCCACTCACTTGTTACATTATCAAGGGTAATACTGTAAACATTTGTGGTTCCAGCTTCATTTTACTCAAACAAGCATCCCAAGATGAGGGAAACGTAGCAAAGAATTCTGAGAGTAGCATTTGTGGGAGGAGAAAGCTGAGACTCATAAAAATTTCCCTTCCAGCAAGGATCCAATGATAGGGGAAAAACCTTCAAGGAATTCGTACAGCAGGGAAAGCCTGGAACAGCCTCCAAGAACTTTGAGTCTGGAGGAAAATCAATCTATGCACTTCATTATCAGGTGCCAAGTTTTGCATCCGGAGGAGAAGGAAGGAGGCCCAGGTCTAGATGGAAGATAGAAACCAAATTTGGAAGAGGCCTGTGTTGTCCACTATCTGCTTCCACACCCAAGCAAAGCAAATTACAATAGCTAGCTTTCGAAATGCTTTACAGTCCAGCTCCTTATACCACTTTATTTTTCATGAGAAACAAAATTATCTGGAACACCTATGACACTCTTATGTGAAATCCAAAAGTTCTGTAAGTCAGTATCTCATACCAGGAATAGCTGTATGTGTAAAGACTTCCACAGCATCTGGAACCCAGATTACACAGGGTTCCAGTTTGTGTGCAGGCCTTTGCGCTTATAGTAGTACCTGTGAAGACTGCATCCCTGCAGATGTTTTTGCATTGTATGTGCAGTCATCAATGGGCAGGATTAGCGCGCATGATATTGGGGGCAGGGCTAGTTGGCGCGACCCCATTCATGAGCTTGGAGATCACATAAGTAAAACTTCTGAGTAGGGATTTGGTGGTCGAGGCACTGTAAAATATGATCCTTTGGGTTCTAAAAGTTGTACAGAGTAGCACCTTTTGAATGTACATCCATTTTCTCTGCAGCCTTAAAAAGAGCAAGATTATATTGGGATGTCATAACTAGTATTGTATCTTGAGAAAGGAAGAAGGGCACTCTGAAGAATAACATGTAGTCATGGCTAAAACATTTTACCAATGGGTAAAAGAAAGCTTCCCTCTATAAGAGAGCTTTGGAAGCAAAAGCTAGGACAGCTTTATGGATTCTCTTGTCCTCTTTTTCTGCTGTGCCCTCAGAAGATCCTGGGCAGGATCTATCAACTTTTAGCAAGGATCTGTGATACCCCACTGATTGGCAGTGCCCCCTTCCCCTCAAATTTTATCATTTCCCTGTATTTCAGTTTATCTTCTATAGTAACAAAATATATTGACAATTCATTTCTACCAAGTCCATTAAACATGGTGTTAGATGAAAGTAGGTCACATATCATTTTCAAATCCGTAGTGTGTTAGAATCTTTTTACCCTGTCTGTTTCCAACCCAAGTTGAGTGCAGAACATATGAAACTGCAATTCAGATCTGGTACAAGGTAGAACTTTACAGATTTTTAGCTTAGAGAGGAAAAGCTTATGACGTTGTTTAGAAATACCACGCTGGACAGAGCAATCTTTTAACCTGATAAATACATTTCCCTTTTTTTCATTTTAGTGGAAGAACGCAATTTTGTCGAGATGCATAGATGGCCTTCTAGTATGTACCTGAAACAGCTTGCAGAGTACAGGAACTACATTCATTCTCGAAAATGCCATTGCGTAGTAATGTAAACTGAAAGCTGATCCATCCTTAGTTATGAAGAGAAGAAAATCAATTGCTTCAGGAATCTTCACAAGACTGAAAGCAAATGCTGAGCTTACATGCTGTGAAACTATGATCTAATACTGCACTTGCTAATGAATAACTACTGTATTTTTTTAAAAGCATGTGAAACAAAATTTAGAAAAGCATAAGCATTTAACCAGGATGTTTCCCAATTCTGCTGCTGGGTCTAATTTCCTTGTATAGAGACATCAATTTATGTCATATTATTTCAGGTTTTTAGTGGAGTTTAGACTTATTTAGAGCCTGGAAATCATGTCAGCCCATGATTGGGATTTTAAGAGTCTGAAGGAGATTCCAAATTCATTAAATGTTTGTAGGTTCTCTTTGTCTGGAAACTGTAGAACCTAATTTTGTTTGCTAGTTACTCTGTTAAGGATTTCTGTAATTTATTTTTGGGCCTTTTAAGAATTTTGTAAAAACATAGAGTTTTATGTTTCTGCACTGGTAATTAGAAAAAATGTACTTCCTATTAGCATCATTAAATTCCTATGTTATGGTGTAAAATACATCACTACCTTTCTAGAAAATATTGATTTATGTTTTCCCCTCACTAATATATCTAAAACAGTGCCATTTATTTGCTGGTCATTATCCTGCAATGCAAAAGAAATGATCAAGTAATAAGCATTCTTCCACATTGTTTCTGGTGTGTGTATATATCCTCTACAAATGTGTTTCCATGTGGAGAAAAACCAAAACATTGTCGCAACCATGTAACGCTACTGCATTTTTGCCAGCTCTTCCTGAGTAGATGACAAATTCAGTCCACATGAACTTCTCCAGGAAAATTCTCCCTAAAGGGGGCATGTGACAGAAAGGCTTTTCCAAAGTACATTGCATTCGGAGCTTAGCCAAGGGCATGAAAATGCAAGGGTTGGAAATCTGCAAGGTGACACTCCGCAGCCAGGTGTAGTCTTTGAAAACCCTGACCAGGGCTTGTTGCTTATACTTTGATGTCCCAGAGGCTGCCAGAGAGAAGAAAGGAGCCAGCTGGACAGATCGGCTTTGGCCACTTTGGAGCTAGACATTGCAGATTCCAGGGGATCCAGGCATGCTATTGCGTTCAGACTGCCACCCCAGTCTCCCAGTCACCAAAGTTTAATTCACAAGCCCTGGCTTTTCCTTTTTACACATCTCCAGACGTATGATGTCCCAGCAAGATTCTCCTGTCCTGCATGTAGTCACCCCGCATCCAGTCTGCATGCCTGGACTGGCCAGGATCCAGAGGGCTGCATGCCCTACTGGAAAGCAGGAGCTGCCTCCCATTGGTTTTCAGTGGCATGTCCCTGCTGAGACTATTGTCTGCTTTTGAGTGCATATGAGGCTATATATATACCTGTATTTCCTCACCTATCCTCAACACCTGTGTGCACATCCAGAGGCTGCCACATTGTACCTTCCACATGCGCAAACATGTTGTAGGTGTAGGATCCTTTTGATGTCACCACAGATGAGATTTACACCAAGCGTTCCTCCCTTACAGCCCACATGCATTTCAGTGGCCCTTGTAAATAGTGTTTTCTATTAGGTTTTTAACCTTTTTTAAAAAATTGAAGCATTTGTGGATCTCTTACTAGAAACTAATATCCAGCAGTGTGGTTTTTATGGAGACCAATTAAAAAACACACATACACTTGTTGCATTTTGCAATACATTTTCCGCAGGTCAGCAGGGCAAGCATGACAGTTTCCCTTCTAAATGTCTAATGATTTGCTAAGTATGCAAGCACACAAAATAGGTTGTAATTCCTTACTTGCACTCTGTACTTGCATGCATTAGATACAACATTGCATACTACAAACAAGCACAGCAACTCAAACGGATTTGATAATTTGTTGCGGTGATGTTGACAAGTAACCTTGGGAATAATGGGAGGAATTCATTTTTGTGCTAAGGCAATAGTTTTGTCATTTTGGCTTGCCAGACAAAATGGTACCCCCCTCCTTTCCCTGTGTGCTACTCCAGGGGTTCTCACAAGTAAATTTGGGGGGCATGGAGTGGGAGGGAGGAAAAGAGGAAAAGCCCCATTGTGCAAGGCTTTTGTGTAGGACTTCCACTAATGTGACTCAGTAATTGAATTCTGCCTGGGCTTGAACATGTTTAAAATTAGGATTTATTGTAAACAATTTCTTCACCTGAAAGAGGATAGCCACACATAGGAGTTTGCTATAGATGTGCATTCTGCAATCAAAAATTTTACACCCCTAAGGCCCAATTCTGGCCTGCTATGGTGCAACGCTGTATACAGCAGTAATTGGATAGAACTGTGTGAGAGAAAAAACAGAGCACTAGTATTACTGTAATATGGCAAGTATAGCAATTTAAGAAGCTTCCTGGAACTGAGGGGAACTAGTTAGGTTTTTTAGGATTAGAAACCACATATGGTGCACCTGTTTGTCTTCCTCGATGCTCATGCAGATGGTGTACGGCCCTAGCTGGATTAGGAAGAATGCATAGTTGAATCAGTTTAGAATTAGTATGAACATGTATGAATTAGTTTAGCTTGAAAATTAGCAAGCCATGATTTGGTTTTAATATATAAATAAATCGAGAAACTCCTGGGTAGCTTGATCTGCTGAATGAACCACAAAAAGGCAGAAAAGCTTCCAGATTCCCTTACAGGCACATGCATTGCACCATAATCCCTGCTCCGATAGTCAAATCCTGCCCTCCCATCTGCAAACACATGATAGCAACTTGTAACTTTTCTGAAGTTTCCTACACTGGTTTCATGGGGGAAATGATGTAAGTCTATTTTAGAAGACAACTAGTAGATTTCACATTTCTAATTATACAATTATTAATTAATAAGCAGGTATTGTAAGTAGCATTCAAGAGAGTTTACACTGAAGGGATTACTTCGATGTCTATTTTTATTTAAATAATAATAATTTCTGATAACAGACTGTTATAATTTCTTAAAGTGAAATTATGAACATGGGCTAATGTCAAGCCAGCATGGAGATGTATAGAGAGCCAACCTTAAGATACAAGAATCTTTGTTGTAGTCTTGTCACATGGATGAGAGTGTTTGTAGCTCAAAGAAACACTTATTTTATTATGGCATGTGTTGGATATGTAATAATAATTTCACACGTTAGCTGGTGCTTAAAATTTACAAGATTTTAAATTTAATATTTAACTCAATAAAATGTTTCTACTAAGTGTTCATCTCATGTGCTTATTTATCCATTAAATAGCTATAGTTCAAACTATACTCAGTGTGTATTTGATCATCTTTAGAAATGAAAAAAAAATCAGTTTCATGCTAGATGAAGTCTAACATATTCCACAGTAAATTTGTATTATATTGATACTTCATTGTGCCGCATACTAGGAGTGTGCACTGGATTAAAACAAAACTTCCAAGACAATGCACTTGCCTCAGAAGGATTAAGGTCTTAACCAAAGCAAAATGGATAGCCTCACCTGCTGTACTTGCTCTAGTAACCTCCAGATTGGATTACTGCAATGTGCTTTACATGGGGCTGCCCTTGAAGACATTTCAGAAACTTCCAGGGTCCAAAATGCAGCAGCCTGATGACTATCTGGGATTCCATTTAGAATTCATATAACCCTTATTTTAAAATGACCGCACTGGTCGCCAGTTTGTTTCTGGGCCTAATTCACACACTCACATTGGTGTTTAAAGTCATAAATGACCCAAATATCTGAAAGACCGCCTCCGTTCCTACAGATCCTCTCGGGTGTTAAGATTGGCAGTTTCACCAACCTCAGAAGTAGAGACAATGCCAATGCAGGAGAGGGCCTTCTCAGTGGCAGCCCCTAAGTTGCAGAACTTGCTCCCTGCAGAGGTGCACTGAACACCATAATTATTCAGTTTTCACTGTGCTAAAGACATACCTATACATTTGACAGTTTAAAGTATTTTTGTGGGACCAATCATGTATACTTGCTGCATCAAGAATTGTTTTACTTCCCATTTTTTATAATTTACAAACTGTTTCATGGTTTTCAACTGTTTCAAATGTTGTAACCTGCCTTGGGACCTTATGGTTTGTAGGTAGGTTCTTTCTATGATTTTCATCACAAGAATGACTTGCAACATAACACAGCAATCAGCCTTCAAAGTCCTGTTTTAGTTCTCCAGATGGAAATGGCCCAAGATGAAACGAAACAGCCTTGTTCATACTAAAGGCTATTATACAACCATTATGTTATGTACTAACATATAAGAGCTTCAATTATGTTAAAACACATATAATTGTACCTGAAGACAGCAACTTCAAAAAAAATAATCTGCAATTGCACAGCTTAGCAGCGTTCGCAGAATAATGGCCTCTCCCTTTGACAACAAAGCACAAACTTCAATGGCATTCATGGGTGGAAAAATTAAGTCACCTTGCATTTTGTACGGCTGACAAGAAAATAGATTTCCACCAAGGTGTGTCACACTTTCATCAGAGGCACCTGAAATTTGCTAGCGCTTTCCAATAACTTAACAATGCATGACTCAAAGGTATACATGCGCAAGAGCCCAGTGCTTCTGTGAGGTCCCAGTGTAGGCTTATATTTGGGAAAGCATGTGTAGAGCATTCCAGAGCTAGACTTTGGTGGCAGTGTATGCTCCTCAGGATCCATGCACATGCCCCAAGGGATGGATCCTGTGTCTTCCCACTCAGTTCTTTGTCAGTTACAACAATAGCATCAAAAGGCATCTCAGGTGAAGGGCTGTGGAATGTTCTAGGCTCAATCTGTGGCATCTCTGGGTAGGTTGATGAAGGGTTGGCTAAGACACAGTGACTGGCCCAAGCTCAGTCTGTGAGCTCAGTGGGGACTGGAATCCAAGTCTCCCCTGTACCAATTTGTACTCTCAAATTACCATAGCAGAAGTAAAGGTAAGATAAATGCCCCCTGGACGGTTAAGTCCAGTCAAAGGTGACTATGGGGTGTGGCGTTCATCTCGCTTCAGGCTGAGGGAGCCGGCGTTTGTCCGCAGACAGCTTTCCGGGACATGTGGCCAGCATGACCAAACTGCTTCTGGTGGAATGGGACACTGTCAGAAACCAGAGCACACAGAAACACTCTTTACCTTCCCACCACAGCTGTACCTATTTATCTACTTGTGCTGGCTTGCTTTCAAACTGCTAGGTTGGAAGAAGCTGGGACAGAGCAACAGGAGCTCACCCCATCACGTGGATTTGAACCACCAACCTTCTGATTGGCAATCCCAAGAGGTTCAGTGATTTAGACCACAGTGCCACCCGTTCTGTAGGAAAATTAGCTGTGTGGGGAATTAGTGGCATATCAGTTTGAGGGTGCTGTTGTTCTCAAATACAGGGAAATATTCTGACATCGAACTCATCACCTTGCTGGACAGTGCTACCCCTGTACAAAGCATAGGAGGCAACAAGTTGACTGATCACAGCCCTTAAAAGCACAGGATTTAAGTTCCTTCTCTGCTGTTGCATTCCTGGGTGGCATGGAGTTAAGTGACTGCATCCTCTAAATTCCACCAGCGTATTGTATACAGAGACGAAACTTTCCCCCCAGAAAGAAATTGTGAAGGTCAAGAGAACAGCTGCTAAGTGCTTTGCCATTAAGTACTACTAAATCTAAACATTAACTTTTGTGGGCAGGCATTGTACAGATCCCCTGCCCAGAGGCCTAACAATCTAGGGCTCACTAGAAGGAAGAATGGAGAGTCGTAAAAATTGAAATATGCTGACTAATGCCCCACAATGCCCAAATGCACAGGAGACAAGAGTCCCAAAAGGGTGCTTTAGGATGCAGCTGTAGCAAATAAGAATGGTCCTAATTTTGAGGCTGGGATTGATGACTGAGAGGGAGATACCCTGCCTTGTACCCTTTTATGATGGACTGCCCAATAATGTATGAGGATGGGCAGATACAAAGGGCTCTGTTATTCTCAGCCTGAAGAAGGACCAGCTAACTTTGAGAAGTGATTGAAGGAGGGCAGGACGCAGATAAATGGAACCAAATTTCTACAAGGTGGAAAAAGCCAGGTGTCAATGTATGGACTCACCCATGTTGGAAGGAAGTGAACAAAGCTAATGATATTGGTTGTATGAGAAGGAGAAGTACGACCTACAACAAAATGGTGCAGTATATTCTCAGAATATACTCAGAACCCCAGACATTGCATTCCCTCTCCTGGTGGTTTTTCATTCCTACTCTCCACAAATTATCTTGAGTTCTGTGCCTCATGCAGCATGCTCAAACCTCCCTGGGATGTTTTCTGTGGCTCCCTTTAAGAGTGCCCCCCCCCAATCTGCAAACTTTGTGGTTCTCTCAAGACCACTGATGCCTCCCCTATGTGCATGGATAGTGCTGTCTGGGCTAGGCAAGGACCAGCTCTTGGAGAATGAAGATTGCTACCAGTGTATATATGCATATAAATTATATAATAAAACTCCTTCTTAGTACAAGCATTTTATTCCACTGCATCAGGTTCTGACCGTCCCCATGTAAACTAGCAGAGATGGTGCATACTAAAACGTGCCAGAAGTTACAGCCACGTGCTCAGCAAAACCAGACAGTGACCAAAGCCTTCGGCCATCATTACTCTACATTGAAACGCACCATAAGCAACATAGTAGATGCAGGATAAAGCGAGAGGCAGGCAGCTGCGATTTCATTTCCAGAAGATAGTGCAGTAGCATGAGGTAGTGCTGTCCTCCAGTCCATTGCTGCTCTGAAAATTAAAAAAAAGGGACACATTATGAACACTGGAAGGTTTCCATGAAATGACATTTGGCAGCTATGAAGATCTTGAACAGTACTTTGGGAGAAAGCTTGGTTTCAAAAAAGAAACCCATCACCACTGAGACGATTATACTGCATATGCAATACAGTGGTACCTCGGTTTTTGAACGTCTCCATTGATGAACATTTCGGTTTTTGAACGCTGTAAACCCAGAAGTAAATGCCTGAGTTTTCGAACACACCTCAGAAGTCGAACATGCCATGCAGCTTCTGCTGAGTGCAAGATCCTGGGGCCAAGCTATTGGCTATTTAGTTTTTGGTTTTTGAATGTTTCGGAACTCGAACGGTCTTCTGGAACGGATTACATTCAAAAACCGAGGTACCACTATAGTTGAAAAAAGAATATTAAGTGACCAATAACTGCCCTGGACTGTGCAAACCTATCCAAACTATGTTTTCTGCACTCTCTCTGTTGGTGCAAAAGTGTACCGAGATGGTTGCACACCATTATAAGGCTCTCACTTCTTTGCACAGTTAGCAATTTTAGTAGTTGCACTTCCTATTGCCTCCTCCAGTGAGTGATGCCCCTCTGTTAAAAGCAGAGGCTTAAAGGTTACAACCACACCATGCACTTAAAGCACATTGCTTCCAGCAAAGTATCCTGGGAAATGTAGTTTGTTAACGGTACTGGGGAACTGTATCTCTGTGAAGGGTAAACTACAAGGCCCAGGAATCTTTGGGAAAAGCTGTTGCTTTAATAATATGGCGTGGATGTAAGTGCAACTTGAACTGAGGCAATGACAACAGTTGGCAAGGACTGGCACTTATTCTGCGGCACAGGGTTAGCATAAGCTACCTCTAGCTGACTTATAGGGTGAAGTCACTGCTCTGTGGGAATGAGAAAGGTTAACAGGCTCTGCAGAACATATTGAAAAGCTCCTTTCTCCAGCTGTTGCTTCCAGCGTTCCAAGCCAGGCTCCCAGACAGAAGGCCAAGGGCAACTGACCTGTGAAGCAGCTGTTCATTTGCAGAGATCAGGCATTTGCAAACCCCTGCATGTTTCCAACCCTACTATTTTGGCCAAACTGAGGGAGGCAGTGGAGGACAGAAGTGCCTGGCGTGCTCTGGTCCATGGGGTCACGAAGAGTCGGACACGACTAAACGACTAAACAACAGGCCTTCGGAAGAGCTGTGTGCTTGGCCTAGAAAAAGTATCTCCCCCCCCCCCCCCCCCGCCTCTGGTATGCCTCTTTTCAACTAATACAATTCAGGAAATCGGCCGCCCTACAATATCTAGCTGCAAGCAAGATGCTGGCAAGCCTCGTTTCTCTTCATCTGATGCAGCATGAGATGCCAACATACGTTCTTGCCATTTTAAAGTTGCCTCCTCATTCCTGCAGCAAGATTCCTCTGTACATTTTAAAAATACTTTTGGAGCAAGCTTTTCTCAAAATAAACCTCTGTGCAGATCAGGAAGCCTTTATGCTGTTTGTGGGAGCAGCCAGTCACATGTTTCTGCTTTGTGTGCAAGGAGTTGCACTGGCAACTACTTGAGCTATGCTCATCTTCCCCAACCTGGTGCCCTCCTGATGTTTTTGTTTGTTTGTGGGTTGTTGTTGTTTTTACTACAACTCCAGCCAGCACGGCCAACAACAACATTACTTTTATTGGAGTCAAACAACATGCTATGCAAAGCATGCAGCTACAAATTTTTATTAATATGAAGCATGAGGGAATTGTAATGGGTACCACAATGCATGGGGAAATTCCACCACCAGGATCATGACCAGAGTCTCTTCCTGTCACAGCCACTTGCTTTATTAAAAAGCACCCAGCTATGGCTAATGGTTATATGCGGATGCAATTGCAGCAAGGGAGGGAAGGTTGAAACCTCCTCTCCCTATGTGCTACCTAATACAATTCCACCCACCCCAGTGTTAGAAACTCAGATATATATAAGCTAGGCACCAAATGGCTCCTTAAACCAGGGTTACAGTCGCCAAAACAGAATGTCTAGTCGCCATTTGGGGGCCAGACGGCTCTGAAGGCTGTCTTTTTCAATAGAACGTTTTGGTTCCTTAAATTCGTTCTGATGGTGCAGATAAAATACCATGGATAGAATTATAAAGGATATGTTGTTGTTAGTCTGTGAAAACAGGCAAGATCCAAGGACCTCCAGGCAGGCTCCTCCAGATCTTGGAGATGTCAGGCGTTATCCTGGTTGTCTTCGTTTGGTCACAAGTGGCCAATAGCTGGTGAATTTTGAACGCTGCCACAGATCACTTAGCATTAAGCAAAACGAAACACTAGATGTACTGCTCTTACGTACTGAATATAACACATAGTTTGGCACACAGGGCTGCATCTGCATTTCTTCCTCATTCTCAAGTTGGCTGGATAGCATATCCAAACACTTACCTTCACAAGGCTCCAATCTTCTGCAAAATGGATTTAAGTTCTCCACTCCTATATAGAGTGTCCAGGTCTGTAAAACCACCTATACACTTTTCTCCAATAAAGACGCGAGGGACCTAGAAGAAGTGGTTAAAGTTGTTAGTTAGGATTACTCAGCAAAGAAAAACGGATTTTAGGAGCATAGTCTCCTAGGGAGGCAGGAGCTTAAAACAGAGCTATAAGAATGACAGCAAAAGATAAACGGTGAGAGAGAGAGAGAGAGGTGGCAGCTTGACTGCTAAGTTAGGGGAATAAGGGTAGTGCAGGGCTGGAGAACTGGATCCGGCCAGCATACCTGATCCTTATCTCCCCTACCTTTATGGGTGAAATTTGACAGTTGGGTGTGGCCAGACATCTGCCAATCACCCGATGTCACAATGACATTTGGTGATGGGGTGCTTTGAAGTACTGACAATAGTACCGGCTTACATAGAAGCCTGTGTGGTGCTTTGAAGTGCCAGGTAGCTGATAGTCAGAGTTCAAGGTGCAGAAAAAGGCTCTTTGAAAGTCCTGGCTGGCTACAGAGTTCCTCATGGAGCTCCCAAACAGCTGATCCCAGAGACCTTGAAGCGCAAGGTCTGAGAGGCTGACAGGCACTTACTTGAAGTTCTGCTTTTCTCCTGCGTTCCCTATGGAGAACTCCGTAAGGCAGTCGTTGTCAGCTGGTTCGCTCTCACTCTCAGTCAGCTGACTCACAGTGACAACATGCCTCCCTTGCCAATGCACAATCAGGAGTGCGTTTTAAGGTTCCCAACTGGGCATTGGCAGCCACACCCCCACCTGCCCCTCACCTGACACTGTATGTGATGTCAGGTGCATGCAGCTAGTGGTGAAGCAACCTGATCCAGTACCTGGAGCGGCGCTTGTTCCAGGGGGTGCGGTGCGCATCCTGGGGGGTGCCTTTTGTCATCCTTCCTTTGGAATGGTACCCAGTGCGCCCCCCCGCCCCCCTCTCAGAACGCCCCTGCGTGCAGCAAGTTGGCGTGGGGAGAAGAAAAAAAATACAGCCTCCCAGGGTAAATTGAGACCCATGCCAGGCCTAATTAAGCCTGTGGATCAGACCTTCCTCACTCCTGGAGTGAACAGGATTTCCAGGTACAAATCTGAAGACTCTTTCCCCTCACTTAAGGTGCCGGAAGTTCCCAAGACGGTATACAGTGATGGCACCTGTTCCAATAATTCCTTCAATCTGCTTCTCTTCCGTGTTGTGAACCATGGGATAGAGTGGCAAGCAAACGGAACACAACAGCAGGGCCAAAATCCCGCAAGGTCACATCTGTATCTTGCAGGCCATAAAGACACGCTCTTGCTGTGTGTTATGCTGTAAATTTCAGGGCAAGCAATACTAGAGGCAGCTCATCTCTTCAGGATGCAGAAAAGACTGTTGTAACAAAAACTATTGCAGCTGAATCTCAGGTAACAGGAAATTTGCACATGACAAATTTCCATCAGGAGCAGGTGTGATTTACCCTCCCATGCAAAGGTCACTGTGCCATAGGCCTTGGACTTCATCGCCTAGATTTGCATAACTTGCTTTTGCCAAGGAGGAAGTGCCTTCTTAGCACTAAGGATTCTTGTTGCAGCTTGCAGTAACTCTCAGAAGGCCCCTATCCAGAACATTTGAAGACCAGTGACATGTGCCTGCCGTCATTCTTGGCCTGAAGCTAATGTATCAGGAGGTTTTACTCAACATCTCTTATCTGATGCTCACCAGCACAGTACGAAGCTCCTCACATGAAGCCCTGTTTTGCGGCATTAAGCTGTGGATTTTAATCAGAGGTGCTGTTCTCAGTGCAATAATGTTAAGTTTAATTAGATATAGGTCCCCCCATACAACAGGCACAGTCCCTCGTTCCTTCTGAAGTTCTGTGGTGCAAATCCCATTGAGGTGAATGGGATGGGCAACCACCCAACCATACTTCTATACAGGTTCTGTTCATTTCAGTGGGACTTGCAAACAGGGAATTCCCAGGGGATTTGGCTTCTACTGGCTCTCCAAGAAGAAACCTCTGAAAGCAGAAGAAAGGTCCTTCAGGATTATTCTGCCATAGTGGCCCACCTATGGGAAGTCCCATAGAGGTAATATATACCCCATCCTGAATGATAGCCACCAAAAACTCTATCTATAAATTTATCTAATCCCCTTTTAAAGCAATTCAAGTTGGAGTTGGTAGCCAATTCCAGTTATGCACTATGTGAAGTAGTGCACCCAGTTGTCTGTCCTGAATCTTCCAAGATTCATCTCCACTGGATGACCCCAGAGAGAAGGAGATAAACTTTTTTTTCTAAGCTAAAAGCCCCCCAAAGCTTGTAACCTTTCCTCATGGTGATGTTGCTCTACATTTGGGTTCCTCTATCTTTGAACCTTTCTCCATTTCTACAGCATCTCCCCCTTTTTTTTGACGAGGCAATCAAGACTGTACACAGTATACCCTGTTGCCCCACAGATTTGTATAGAGTTATTATGACATGCAGTTACGTGCAGCTGTTCCTTTGTTTTACATCCAGCTCGGAAAGGGGAAACAGAAGGGCTGCCCATTAACTTTATGCATTATAGGCAGCCATTCAAGAGACAAGGGCAGGGCCAGCAGAAATGTTGGCAACCCACCAACGGACTGTGCCAATTATCATCATGGTTGAGACACCATGCGCCTCATTTACAACTGGGGTGGCTCCAAGAAGCTGTTGGGAGTCTAAATTCCCATCAGGTCTAGCCAGCCTAGCTGATGGTCAGGGATGATGGGAGATGGACTCCAGTAACAAAAGGAGAGCCGCTGAAGTAGAAATTCTGAAAACCTGTGGTCAGAGAAGCCAGCTTCATATACGCAAGGGTATAGCCTGAACACAAAACTCACAGACTCTTCGCCCTGCAGTGCATAACTAAATGGAAGTCTGACTAATTGAGAATTCCAAAAGGGATTTACCTCCCTTGCCCAACACCCTGCCCTGTTAAGAAATCTGAATTCCCTAAAGCGTCCCTGCTCCAGGCATGTTGCTCATCTTGAAAAGTTTGAAGGAAGAAGTTGCGTTAAGTTTCACAAAGGGAAGAAGTGGCACAGGAAGGCAGACCTTATGGCTTCTCTATTACAACATGAGAATGAGCTGGTTATGGCTTAACTTACATTATAGTTGCCACATGTTCTTTTGGAAATAGTACAAGGTTTTACAGGAGTGATCTATCAGGCTGCTAGTCTGGTCCACCCCTGGAGGGATTGGTTTTAAGTACAGTGCTTAAAATACTGAAATATTTCAATTTCTGTGTACACTAGTTACAATATATTTCAAAAGATTCACACCTTACTAGATATGTTTCAAAAGACTCACGTCTTACTAGGTACAACGTTTCAAAAGACCCGCTTCTTAATAGTTATGTTTCAAAAGACTTACATTGTGTCTTACAAAAATCTTTCTCACCTATAGAAGAATTCTGGAAACTGTTCCAGAAGATGCACATTCTTGCTGTGAGTGTCAAGAATGATTTATCTTACCCATCACATCTCATGTGACACTTGCTCTCATCACCACCACCACCATTTATATATACTGCTTGATTGTAAGAAAACAAAGCAGTTTACATGTGCCTACATGTCTTTTTTTTTAAAGGGCTGGTTGGACTCTGTTAAATCCCACAATGGAAAAAAGTAGAGCAGGATGGTGTGTTAGCTTGCTAATCCCACCATAGCCTAAATGAGCATGACTTTGAACCCTTCTGCACTACACATTTAAAGTGGTTTGAAACCTCTATTGAACAGTGATGGCTTCTCCGCAAGAATCCTGGAAACCATAGTTTTTTAAGGCTGTTGATAATTTTTGGGAGACACCTGTTCTCATAGAGTTAACAGTTTCTAGAGTTCCCGGGGAAGAGGGATTGGTTGTTAAATTACAGAGTTGCATCTCTGTGAGGGGAACAGGGGTTTCCTAACAACTCTCAGCACCTCCCACTGTAGCTCACCCCCTGATTTCAGGTGGGCTACAAGCAAAAAAATACCTCACAAGAGCATATGAAGGGCAACGTGGTCCTGAGCTGCCCTGGAAGAACAGAGATCTTTGCAAAGCTGGGTAGCAGAAGTGGCCCTTAAGTTATAAAGGCCACCTCCGCTATGCAGTTTTGTTTCTATCCTATCCTCACCCCCAGATGGCGCTTAAGGCAGAGCACACAATTCCCCCCCACCCCACTGTATTCACACAACAACCCTGTGAGGTAGGTAGCAAACACAAAACGCCCTATGGACCAGACCAAAAGTCTCTACAGTCCAGTATCCTGCTTCTCACAGAAAGTGACTCAGGTGGGGATGGATGGGCGTTAACGCAAGATTCCCGCAATCCTCTCGTCATTACATCGCAGCAGCACTGAGCGCAACGGTATCCAAAGACAGACGCTCGTTTCCGCACAAAGTAGCCCCAGAGATCCATTGAGAGCTCAGAACCTTTGCTCAGAACTTTGCTGCAGGCGCTCAAGGCGGGGTCATTTCCTGAGCCATGCCTAAAAAGACTTCCAGCGCTGTCCACAAGTTGGAGAGCTTTTTCCAGTCATGGTTGCGGGGGGGGAGCCTCTTCCTACGGTAGGGTGGAGGGATCTAAAGAGAAATGCACGGCTAGAAAGCAGGGGGGGGGGATATTGCTTTCCTTCTCCCTCGCGCGCAAGAATTAGGATTATTGAAAGGAAACTCACTGTTCTGGCCCCCGTTATCTCCAAAAGATAGTCCTGGATAGCAGACATGTCGCTTCGGGTGGTGAGATCCACATACTCGAAGTGCCCAGGCTTGAGATGAAGTCCTTCCAGGAGCTTGACAGCGTCGTGGCAGTAAGGACAGCTCGACTTGCCGAATACAACTACCTTATCAGCTTTCAGCTTGCTGTTGACGAATTGCTGAGCCATTCTGGGACCTTTGCCGCCTCTCCACAAGCAGCCTCGCGCAACTGGAAGATTGCAGCAGCTCCCGCCGCGCGGTGCGCTCTTTTATGAGTTACAGCCGTCGCTCCTCCTTTAAGGGACAACACCCTGTAGGAGGAGCCCTCGCCCTCTCTTATCTGCGGCTTTCTTCTTTCTTTTTTAAAAAAAATGTCAGAAAGGACTATGAACAGTTGCCCAGTGGAAGCGTTATGGTCTGTATTCCCTACACAAGCCGCGTGGTAAATAATTTGCTGGCGCGCCCTTAGTTCATTTTGAACGGAAATTGTTTGCTTCATAGCACTTGCATGGCTTTTATTTGTTTTGCATAGAAGAGTCTTCCTTGCAGCAGTCAAACTTGCTTCCTGAGGTGCAACTCCTACAGAACGGTGTGAGACCAACTTCCAAGTAAATATGCACAGTTTTCTGTGGGATTGAAAGGCAGGCTAGAAATCCCTCTAATGGAATCGGAAGGGACCCTGAGGATCATCTAGTCCAAGCCCCTGCAATGCAGGGGGAATCGAACCTGCAACCTTGGCATTATCAGCACCGTGGTCTAACTAACCAAATGAAAAGCTTGGTCTGCAACAGAAAGTCATGCCTCTTCTTCCCTGGTGACATTGTATTGACTGGCTCTGCTGGGCTTGTTCATGTGACAAAATAGCCACAGAGCTAGAAGCAACAGGTGCCTTGATGCAATGCACTTTCCAAGACTGAAATCCGAAACTAGAGTGGCAAAAGAAGACAGGGCTCCTGTGTAGAAAATAAGAATAATAATAATTCATCATACAGTGTATTTATATACTTATCTTTGGCCCAAAGGTTCCCATAGTGAACATGTTATTACAACAAAATATGCAGTAAAGTAAATGAAATAAACCAAGCTAAGCAGGAAGCCTCATTGAACACAGTGGAATTTACTTTGGAGTAAACATATATGGGACTGCACTCCTCAGAGCCTGGAAAGGGGGGGCACCCACCTTGGCTTCCAGATTTATGTATTTATCACATTTTCATGTGTTTCTTTTTCTCATCAGGTATAACTGGATGCACACAACCTCTTATACTATGCATGGAGGAATAAAAGAATAGATCAAAAGTCTCATTGAGAGCTAGCAGCTTCAGATTTTCACCTGCCTTAGGATTTCCCTCATCAGATTGAGCTGGGTTCACACATCTGGTTTTGCCCAGATTGCAAGGGCTTCTCCTGTTATATCCTCCCATGATCATATGAAGTAGGTTATTCTGAGAATACTTACAGATCAAAAAGGGTGCAACTTCTAACACAGAGATTGGATTTTCTCTCTCTAAAAACATGGCAGGAAGGAAGGAAGGAGTCTGAAGAAACAGAGGAAATAACTTCTCTTAATATTAAAATAAAAATACATAAAAAATTGAGTTAACCTGCAACAGATTTTAAATGAAAAGGATTGCATCCATTGTTAGTTTTCCTCAGAGCAGACCCACTGAAATTAAAAGATCTAAGTTGATCATCTTCATTAATTTCAGTGGGTTTACTCTGAGTAAACACAACATTGGAGACAACCCAAAGACAATGACATTTTCACAGTGCATTTCACACAGGTGACCTGGGGAACTCTTTGCCTCCAGAAGTAGCAGCATGCTTGAGCTGAAAACTATTATATAAATCTATCAACATGATTATAAGATTATCAGTTAGGTAAGCTGCCCATTTAGTTAAAGCACCAAACTGGATAGCAGGAAAAGGATTGTCCCATTTAGGACACAACCTCTGATCTGTGTATTGCAGTACAGGATATTGGGATGAATGAATGATGCATTGTTCTGACTCCCTGATTGACTAAGACTCCTCGCACGTGACAACTGCAGCTCTTGTGAGACTATTGCAAAACCCTTTTTGAAATGCAGTGTCATGAAGCTTGGCATATTGCCAACATATAGCAACAGTGTCATCTCCACAGCCATGCTAGGAAAGCCGTGGTGCATCTGTATGTTGCTGCTAAACAAGCCACAAAGTCAGCGAATAACTCTGGACTGTCATTGCCTGTCATACTTGCAGTCCCATGTTTGTCATGTACTTCTTCTTTCTTCTTTGGCGATCACTCGTAGCCGAGTAAGATTGTCTTCCATAAACACGGTTTTAACAATGAGTCCGTAAGTGACTGTGGAGGCCAGTTCTGGATCCACACGTCCTTCCACAGTGGGGACATAGGTTTTCCCGCCTGTGGAGATGGCACATCGCTATCAGCTGGGGCCACGTGGCTTCCCTGAACCAGTCAATGCTCTCTGTTTAACCTAACTCACTTGTCATGAGGATAATAATAATAATAATAATAATTGATTATTTATGCCTTGCCCATCTGGCTGGGCCTCCCCAGCCACTCTGGGTGGCTTCCAACAGAACACTAAAATACAATAACCTATGAAACATTAAAAGCTTCCCTAAACAGGACTGCTTTCAGATGTCTTCTAAAAGTTTGGTAGTTATTTTTCTCTTTGACATCTGGTGGGAGGGCGTTCCACAGGGCGGGTGCCACTACCGAGAAGGCCCTCTGCCTGGTTCCCTGTAACCTCACTTCTCGCAGCGAGGGAACCGCCAGAAGGCCCTCGGCGCTGGACCTCAGTGTCCAGGCTGAAGGATGGGGGTGGAGACGCTCCTTCAGGTATACTGGACCGAGGCCGTTTAGGGCTTTACAGGTGAGCACCAACACTTTGAATTGTGCTCGGAAACGTACTGGGAGCCAGTGTAGGATAAATTAGGGATCACAGAAGCCTAGAACTGTGGAGTTGGAAGGGACCACGAGGGTCATCTAGTCCAACCCCCTGCTATGCAGGAATTCTTTGCCCAATGTGGGGCTCAAACCCACAACCCTGAGATTAGGAATCTCATGCTCTACCAACTGAGCTACCTGCCTCTCCACAATCAGCTTGATTGAAATGGGAAACAAGCATGTGTGCTGACAAAGTGATATCAGGGTCCATATTTGAACCCAGATTTATAAGCTTTGGCCACCATCTGAAGGCCACTCTGAGTCTCTCCACATGTTGCAGGCATTATGTTTGAAGCTGTTCCACGTGTGGATTAGGCACTTCTCATCAGCAGAAATCTTTTAAGAAGAGGACACTGGAACGCCTCTCATATCTACGTGCAAAATCTAGAGGATGAGTGGCGAAGCTGCTTGGGTCAGTGAGGGAGCACACGGGGAATTCTGAGGAATTGTAGACTGTGCCAGTCAGAAAATGCTGCCTTGAGGGCCTGTAGGAGATGACAAGCCTGGGCAAACAGGAACTGAGCAGGAAGAGCAAATAATCTCTCACCCATTGTGGATTTTTGAGCTGATATTGACTTGGACTTTTCACAGTAGGTACTAGCAAGCACGCTTGCACATTGGCAACCCATTATCTAGAGTCTTTTGGGAGCACTGCAGGGCTGAGTTTTCTTACTGCCCTGAAACTAAATGCCAAGAATATTCATCTATGAAGTTTTCAGTTCTTCCAAAGCAAAGTGCCTTACAGTGGTACCTCGGGTTACATACGCTTCAGGTTACATACACTTCAGGTTACAGACTCTGCTAACCCAGAAATGGTACCTCGGGTTAAGAACTTTGCTTCAGGATGAGAACAGAAATCGTGCTCTGGGGGTGCAGCAGCAGCAGGAGGCCCCATTAGCTAAAGTGGTGCTTCAGGTTAAGAACAGTTTCATGTTAAGAACGGACCTCTGGAACGAATTAGGTGCTTAACCCGAGGTACCACTGTACTCTGAATCAAGAAAAAGACTTACTTTCTTACTGACATTGATTTTACCCTGTGACTTTAAATTGATACGTAGTTTGACCAGCCTACATGGGAACCCTGAAATTTCTTACCATATGGAGATTTTGTTTTGTTTTGTTTTTGTTATTGAATTTTTAAAAATATCATTGCCTGGAGTGAGTTTTTATTAAAGCACTCGGGAATCCTGAGCTATCATTTTGGATTGACTTGTCTAACTTTGCATTAATTTAAAAAAATGTTATTAAGAAGGATAACAAATACAATAATATGCTCTGGCACAGAAATCACAAGGATTACATTGGCTGTGTTATTGCCTATTCAGCCTTTCAAGCCTGCAGACTCAACCCTCAGGTGGGATTAAGCTGATTGCAACCAATTTTTTAAATTGTGTCATGGCACAAACCTACTGATGCCAAGTTGCATTTTGACTGTGATCTATTCATCATCTGCAATATTTAGCACCGCGTGCCTTATACAGAAAACACATCTAGGAGACCAGAGATGTGCTCTTGATTTAGGTCCTCTTAAACCCCATGGGTCTCCTTGAATAGGTACTGTTCCTGCCGCTGAAATGAACAGAGGAGCCTGCAAAAAGCACACACAAACAAACAGAAAACAGATTCCTGGGTGCTGTGCAGTGTCCCGGAATCACATAAGGGTTTGTTTATTTTAATCAATCACAATTTTATGCCGCCCTTCTTCCAAGGAGCTCAGGGTGGCATTAATTGTTCTCCTCCTTCCTCATCACACCTCTGTTATATGCTGAATGGAGAGATTGTTACTAGCCAAACATCATCTGGTCAGATTCAGAGCTCAGCAGGTATTCAAACCATCTCAATCCTACTCTGACCCTCTAACTGCTACACCATACTAATAATAATAATAATAATAATAATAATAATAATAATAATGTAGCCCGCCCATCTGACTGGGTTGCCCCAGCCACTCTGGGCGGCTTCCAACATGTATAAAAACATAACAGAATATTGAAGATTTAAAAAACTTCCCTATACAGGCTTCCTTCAGATGTCTTCTAGAGGTTGAGTAGTTACTTATTTCCTTGGCTTGGGGGGGTAGCATAATTGCCCAGGAGAAAGGCCTCTGGTTTCTTCAAGAAGGTATATTTAAATACCTTTTCAATTCATTATATATCATCTCCCAGAAAGCCTTAATCCTTGGGCACGTCCACCAAAGGTGAAAGAATGTACCTTCAGTTTCTTTACATTTCCAACATTTGTTATTGGGCAAATGATAAATTTTTGCAAGCTTGACTGGGGTCATGTACCACCTGTATATCATTTTCATAATATTCTCTCTTAAGGCATTACATGCCGT